CTCCTCAAAGCCAGGATCGGGCCTTTCTGATGTTTTCTCTTCACTGTTATTCGAAACATCTTTTGAGCCATTGTTGTCAGCTTGAGTATTGGGGTTGAGATTGCTCGACTCTTTCCCGCTACTTTCCCCCGAGCCTTTGTCCTCCGAGCTCGGGTCCTGGCCTTGGTCGCTTGGATGCTCATCCTGGTTGTTGTTCTTGTCGTCGTCGTCGTCGTGGGTGGCAAGGTTGGGGACAGACACGCAATGACAGCAATCTCCCAGATGATGCAGACAGCAGCACGACCGACGAGGGGGACACGAACAATTCTTTGGATCTCGATGCACACAGCATCGCGGGTCAAACTTACACGCCACACGTCTGTGTGTGTGGCATACAAACGGATCGGAACCATTGTTGGCGACAGACGATGGCTCCATCTTCACCCTATCCTCGTCACTCCGGACGCTCATGTCTCGGATCGTGGTACTTTCAGATGAGGCGCCGAGCTCTTTCTCGACGTCCCCGATCGATCCAGATCCATCGCCCAACTGCGCACCCTTTGAGTCTTGGCCATCCACGACCACGCGATCGGTCGGCGTTTCGCCATGAACAATCAACGGAGTCGCCACGGCGTTCTCTTCTTCCAACCCCCCCCCCTTATCAGCAACATTAGTCAAAGAAAGAGACTCCACCTGGAGCCCGTCGATCTTCTCATCGTCGACGTGGCCGCTCTGCTGCTGTTGCTGCTGCTGCGACGAGGAGGTCATCTCGACCGTCTTCTTACTATTATTCTTCTTCTTGTTCGACTTCTTGTTCTTCTTCGCCTTGCGCTGCTCAGCAGGGCCGTCACACTGCGGGGGCAGGGACATAGGAGGCAGGGGCGTTCTGACCAAGGAGTCAGGAGAGCAGGCTCTACGCAAGTGCGCCATTTCGCCTGGGAAGTGAGACACGCGCGAGATCTCGAAGTACGAGTCAAATGATTCAACGGAGCGGGGTAGTTCAGCAGTGCAGAAGGTATCTCTTCTGCCTCTGCCCATGCTCTGTGAGAGAGGAGTGGATCACGATGATCGTTGTGATCTGAATCTGTTGCGACCGGTCAGAAAAAGAGAGAAAGACAGAAAGACAGAAGGAAAGAAAGAAAGAAGGGGCCTCTTCAGGAACCTGGTGACGCGTCGAAGTGACAGTCCAGCTAAGAGATTTCAGATCGATTTACCACGAAAAAACAAACGACTTGAAGCGGATAGACAGGAGAGGAAGAAACTGAATCTCGCAGCTTGAAGCTCGAGACCGAACTGGACTTCGCAACGAAGCCGATGTATGTTTGTATGAAGAAGGAGCAAAGCTCACTCACAAGAGAGTTGAAGAAGGATGGAAAAGAAAGCGAAGCGAAGCGAATCTTCCCAGGATGATCAACTGAGATACAGAGCCAGAGCAAACAGCTCTCAGACGAACGTCCAAGGGAATCTGAAAGCGAAGCAAACTTCACAGAAGGAATGGTTGATGTATGTATGATACGAAGGCGAAGCGAATCCTCACAGAAAAGGGACAGATTTCACAGAATGGAGATGGAGATGGTTATGTTATGGACAGGAAGCGAAGGGAAGCGAAAGCGGGAGAGAGATGGATGGATAAGTGAACGAAGGAACGAAGGGACGAATGTATGTATGTACGCACGAAAACAAAGGGAGAGAGAGAAGTAGGACGAGAGGGAAGATTACCACCTCCCAATAATCTAAATTCTTTTCTCACATCCCAGAGCTGGCAAACTATTCACCTCTCACTCGATGGTAGATTCTTTCACCTCAAGTGCCTTCTTCCCATCAAACACTTCTAACCCGTTCACCGTCCCACCAAAGAATCTATGTAAAGACAAACACTTCCCAAAGATCCCCCTTCTATTATCAATCCAACCCAAAACCTCATCCAGCACAGTTCCTGTTCGTCTATAGGCCCGAAGTGAGGGCACCCAGTCCCACGTGACGTGACGCGATGGATTCACGTGACTCATTCTGCCAGGAAGTGAAGGGTGGCTGGTAGGCGGTGTCCAATAACGTGCTTCGTAGTGGTCAGCGTCAACAGCGATCGCAGACGATGCGATTTGGTTTGGCTGTTGTGCGATCTTTGGGGTGAATCTTTCTACGGTAGGTGGTTCTCTTGTTTATTTGAACTTTTAATCTTGTTGCCTAGGAGGATATCCAATCCTATCGTCTAAGATCAAATGGCTGGTGCAATTTATCGGCTCCTGTAGTTAGAGCCCATTTAGTACGTTCTATAGATTTGGCAGGAATATGGCCCACAATACTATTCAGGTTTCCATTTGAGTATATTTTTCATTTGATTTCGGTAGTCTGTTCTACTTTTCGAGACAAGGCCAAGTAACATGGTTATGAAATCGCAAGAACAACCGCACTGGCCACGGTTGACGTTGAAAAGAGTTAAGAAAAAGTTGTGATATCAAGGAAAGAGATAATTCCAGACAATTCAAAAAAAAAAAAATCAAAGATCAATGAGGAAAGACAAACCCGTTCGCTCAACATAACGCAGTTGGTATATCATCATGCGCTGAAAATGGTAATACAGATAAAAGAATGCAAATCACACAAGAGGGAAAGGAAAAGAAAGGTATCTAGATCAGACATGATATGAAATAAAAGGTGGCACATGTAATACATCCGTGGATGTAGAATAGGAGAACAACGGAAAGGAAATCGATAGGGAGTGAAGTTTTTGCGTTTCGATTACGACGGCCACCTGCTGAAGATCAGAACATGCCGCCTTCCATCGGAACGGGAGGTGGTGGGTATGCTGGAACAGCTGGTGGCGTCTCGGAGAGGGCCTGTTGCTGACGCGCCCTCGCATTCAAATTTCCTCCCTCACTGGAGGTTTTGCGAAGCCTGTTGTGCCTGGATTTAGGCCGTCGCTCGCCCTCGTCGGAGAAGGTGCTATGCTCATCCCCAGGAATGCTCACCGTTGAGGGTACATAGTGCGATTCGTGCTTCTCGCCCTTGATGGCCCCCAAGATGGTCTGTGTGGTAGTCTGGCGGCGGCGCCGCGGGTTCATGGGGGGGATCGGCGGAGTTTCCATGCCGTTGCTGAGGCTGGCTCCGGCGGGAAGACCGACAGTGGGAACGTTGGACGTGCAAGATACGAAGGTGGGTTCCGAAATCTGCATCTTGTTGATAGGACGCTTCGTCAGGTGGCCGTGTCCCGGGGCCCGCTGGGGGAGAGCAGCCGGGAAGGTGGCAGCCGGTTTGATAGAAGGGTCAGGAGAGGAGTCCTGCAGAGGTGGGGTGGCATTGGCGGAGTAGGGAGCGATAGGGGAAGGGCGTGGAGAGGCTCCGATCATCGAGGCAGGGACAGATGGGGGTGGAGGGGGTCGTTCGGGGAAACTTGGGGTCGCGGACCGGCTGCCGCTGCGGAATCGGCCAGAGGCAGCGGATGGCGCGCGCTCATACATAGGCGGCTCGTTGACCTCCACGGATGGCCGGGTGGATGACGGGACTGAGGCCATGCTGCGCTGCTCGAAATCGTGGAACGCAGGTGGTCCTGGAGGTCCAGGAGCAGCGATCTCCTCCACGGTTCCCAGATCATCCCGGTCGCGCCGGGTGTGGCTCTTGGAGCGACCAGAGGCGTCGGAGCTCGAGCGGTCCCTTTGCGATCGAAAGCTCGAATGGGGAGAAGCGGCACGGCTGCGGCTCGACTCGCGAGAGTCCTCCTGGCTGCTTCGGCCCAAAGCCGCCACACGAGACCGCACTGACTTATCGGGAGCAATCTGTGGCGAGCTAGAATTGGAGTGTTTGCCAAGGTTGAACGACGGCCGTTCCTCCTCTTCGCGCCAGAGCTCATCCGAGACCAGGGCCGGAGTGGAGGCATTTCCAAGGCCGAGTACCTTGGGATTCCGGGGATCTGGTCTACCGAAAAGATTGTGTTTACCCGTCTTGTTCTTCAGGAGAGCAAACGCGTTGCCCGGTCTTCCCTGGCCATGATCCGGAGTCTGGCGACCAGAGACCGGACTGGCCGATCGGCTCTCACTTTCAGCGAAGCCCTTGAGCTTCTCCTGCACCTTCCTCCGCCGCTCTGCCAGTTCGTTGGCAAACTCTTCCCGCTCTCTTTGGGTCTCGGTGCTGGCTCCACGTCGATGTCCGCGCATCAACTCTTTTTCCCACGAAGCATGCGGGTTGGCCTTGGGCTCAATGGAGGAACTCGGCGTGGCGGACGGAAGCGCGGACTCTCCCAGGTCAAATCGTTTAATGGAAGGGTCAGGCAGGTTGTCGCCGCCTGCGATCTTGGGGGCAGACACGGGGGAAGGCGGCCGGTAAATGGATGACTTATCACTGTCACGTCGAAGGTGAGTACGCACAAGACCACTGAGGCCCAGGCCAGACGGGCCAAGGGTTGGCGAATCGGGTTTTTCGGGAATCGTATCTCCGTGGTCAGGGGTTCCTTCGACGCCGTCATTCTCTGCTATCGGCTTCAGGTCGCCTAAGTCCGAATACCTCACTTCCGGAAGAGGGTTCTTCTGCTCCTCGGGAGGAGTCGAGGGTTGGGTTGGTGTTTCGGATCGGAAAGCAGGATGTACTAGGTCGTTGTAATCTGCCATTTCCTGCACGATGGCGTCGCCTTCGTTGTCCGAATCGCTTGGACTAGAGTTCGACAAAAAGGTGGTGTTTTCCTGGCGAGGCGGCGAGGCATTGACACTCGTTGCGGCGGATCGGCCCACCGGATGCCGGGCTTCGCTATAATGGGAGGAAGCAGATCCGGCTCTGGAACGTTGACTCGCGCTGGAAGGGCCTCTTGACCGTCCAATCGGCTCTTGCGGAGTCGCTCGCCCAGGGGGCGGCGTGTCTCTCCCTTGGTGCATCTGAAGCTGGCGTCGAGTGAACTGGCTTTCGTCAAAGGGGGTTCTCGGCTTGTTGAAATAGCCCATGGCCGTGGCTTTGCCATGATCTTCAGGTTGTAGGGCAGACATCAGTGCCCCCTCTTCACTAGCCGGAGGGCTCAGCGGAGGGACGCTGTATCCAGATCCCCCCGACTTGCGTTCTTTTGGTTCCACCTCGGCGACCTGATAAATCGGAGAAGCCGTCGATGATAGCGGGCTGGTTGGCTGGGGGAAGCCACCTGTCGGATCCGCGACTGCGAGCTTCTGTAGCCTCTCGCGCAGGTTGGTGGCACTTCTTGAATAAGAACGGTTGAGAGGAGGCATCTCCGGGGTGCCGGCTCGCTGGCGGCTCAAGCTTTCCAGTCGGTGGAGAGTCGAGTTCTGCTGGTTTTGGGCAGATTGTGCCAGACCTTGGCCATAGAGACGACGCGACTTGACCGAGTTCCGCTCGGAGGCCATCCCGGAATATGGTGGTTTGGAGACGATGGTCTTCTCATCGCCGGTATTACCAGACAACGTCTGGTGAAGAGGCCCGCTAAATGCAGGTTCGTCGAACGAAGTAGCAGCTGTCGACGTGCGGCCATTGGCAGTAGGACCCGATGCCGTCGACGAAAAGGTCGTTCGCTTGGCAGAAACACTGTATGCGTCTTCCGATTCCTGGCCTTGAGGGTCTTGCCCAGACTCCTCGTTTGCCTGATCCAATCTTTCTCCGGAACGTTGCCGCTGGAAAGCAGACGTCGTCAGGTCATGATCATAAACTACACGACCTCCGGTGGCGGTGCTTCCCGAGTCTAGACTAACTTCCGACGAAGTCGCCTTGTTGGGGATTTTGTAGACCTTCTGGCGTCCACCGAAGAGGTTGTTTCCTTCCGTTCGACGAGCGCGGCTCATGATGCTGCCTTGTTGTGACCGATCGTCGTCCGTGCCGTAGCCATCGCCGCCCGAAGCGTAAGAATCCGTGCGCCCTAGGGCCATGGATGGTGTCCTCCCATCTATCGAGACTTCGTCGATGTCTGACAGTAAATTTGGGTTATGTCCAAAGATGTTCAAGCGGGAGGCCCGTCGGGGGAAGAGAACGCTATCGTCGCTGGCTTTGCCGATTATCGATGCCGGGTCGTCTTGTTCTCTGAGCATACTGAACCGCGCCGACAGTTTGGGCATTATCAGACTGGTGCGGAAGTCATCGGACGACGGCAGCGCTGACGAAAGGTCAAGCTCGGGTGTCGGTTCGGGTTCCTCTTTCTTGTTCTTCTTCGTCAATTTGGCCGTGAACGACGATTGCGTGATCTCGAGGACCTCGGATTCCTCCTTGGCCTTCTCCTTCTTGTTCTTACGAAATCGATTCATCATGGGAAGCGTCGGGAATCAGGGATACAAGTTGGTAGGGTCACTCGGCGCACGCGAATCGAAATGGCTCTCTGGAGGCCGAAATTCCACGGAAACCGGGATCACGTATACAAGGGAGATAGGCACCACAGATACACTAGAAAGATTACGGGCCAACACCAGGAGTCAGAATGGGCACTTGCAGGGGACGCATTGCATAAGTTGTCGGGAAAGTAAGCAACTCACAAGGTGGATGCCAGGTCATGAAACGAATTAATTGGGGACAAACACAACGGAAGAGGCGAGAATGAAATGCTAGCCCAGGAGCATCTAATAAATGTATCCAGGGCAGGCAGCCAATATCCGATGGTCTTTTTTTTCTTCTTCTTCTCTCGATTCTTTCCTCAATCACGGGACCATCCCCTGGGGTACGGAAATAGTCTCAATCGAGACTGAGTTCAGCAACGTAGCCAGACAGTATGAAATCGACGAACCGAGGGTCAATAGTTAGAAAGCGTTGCAGTATGGGCTGAGCAAGTGGGCGGAGATGGCGAGACTGGGGGGCAGAATGATTTGAGATAATAATACGTGACGAATTGGTCGCGTTGGGGGGGGATTCTGCATGAGACGGGGGGGAATGTGGCTGCACAGTTGCAGCGGGCGCGGAGTGGGATAATTGGCTCTGGCGGACGTCGAGCGGAGCACCGAAAGAATGGCAGGTGGGCGCTGGGACGGGAATGGTTTGGATTGGGTGGGAGGAAGAAAAAAAAAGCGAGAGACTGGGAGGAGGGAGAAAGAGAGAGAGAGAGACCGAGAGGGAAAGGAAGAAAGCGAGAGACAGCGAGGGTATATGAAGAAAGGAAGGAATAGGAAAAGAAGGACCCGAAAAAGAAGGAGCAGATGAGGGACCCGAAAAGGGAAGAAAAACAGCCGTTTGTTGGCAGCCGAACGGAGAAAATGAAAGAAGGGATCTGGATTCGATCGGCATCTGTCTTAATATTTTCTCTCTTCTTTTCTTTTCTTTTTTTTTTTTTCTTTCTCTCTCCCCTCTCCTCTTTTCGTGTTAGCCCTTTGGTACCTGAGAACAGTCCAGAGCGCACTAGAGGAACAAATTATTGGGTCCATTGGAGACGCCGGCGAGTCTTGGGAAGCGGATCGACACGAGATTTGTACTGGGAGTTGTGATTTAATCAATCCAGAGATTAAATCCAGGACAATTTAGCTATTAAGGTTACGGGTTTGGGGTGCTTTCTTTTTTTGGATTGCCGTCGGCGCATTCTCAATCTTGGTGCTCACTGAGGGACCTTCTTCCATGGACTGACTCCTGTGACTAAGGTTCCCTACAGAGTACAGAGTACAGAGTGTACAGACTACTCCGTCCAGAGAAGAATAAAGTGTCCAGAAACCATGGGCGGTGCCTTCGGTTACCGTACAGTCATCTCGGACGCGACCCGCCGCTGCCCCTTGCAGTCTCCACCCGCAGGAACCGCGAATCGGATTGCGCAGTCAGGTCTGCTTCCATTTCCATGACCTGCGAGTACCGTACAGTATGTAGGTAGGTCTTTGACACACGGCGGACGGAGTAGTCCGGAGTACACTGCATGTACTCTATTAATATAGCTGTACTGTAGAATACCTTATCATAAGGTAGTACCGAATCATGTCAATCGCGGACGCTCTGCCGCTGCGATCGAGCGTTCCTCTGCTCATCGAAGATCCAACTCAACGGACCGGAGAAAGTACCGTACATCGCTCCTCCTCCGTCGAGAGAAAGTTCCCCCCGACGAACAGGTAGACTGTGCTCCCTGCGCCCGGCTCCCTGCTCCCTGCTCCCTGCTCCCTGCTCGGTCCCTCCGTCACGGTCTGCCATCTCGAACAAATATCAATCAATTACGGATAATGATATCGAACTTCCTGGTGCGTTCCAATTTCTAGCCCGTCGCGTATCACGGGATGTGGGCCGATCGGTCCTCCAGCCTACCCAATTCAGCCTCAATAATAGTAAGTCATTTAATTGCTTGGGCCACTGAGATCATTCCGACCTGTCGCAGGAAATTTGAAAAGGAGCGACGCCGAGTTCCAAGCGAAAGGACCGCGTGGTCGACGAAAATATTCCCCCTCCCAAAAAATTCCTAATAATATGTATATTGTATGTACTCTACTCACACGGGGCAGGGAGGCGTCGAAGTTATCAGCTGAGCCACTCTGGCAATATGGCAATTGTGACCTGTCTCCGGGGCGCGGTTTCACTCCCCCCAGCTATGCGACGATGGGCGCTAGATGTGTTCCGGAAATATGGACGAGCGGGGATGATCCCATCGATGTGCCATTATCCATAGATGGATGAAGTGCCGGGCAAGTGCCATTTACTGAGTGATGTTAATATTAGGCGGTGCAATATGCAGCAGGGTTTCCTATTCTATGCTTGTCTATATTTTGATCGATTCTCATACATCGTCAGCCACATGTTCAGACTATCGCATGCAGATCAAAGTACGAATGATCTGGGGAGCTTCAACCCATCCGAATAACCCAAGTTCCCCGGGCATAGTGACGCAACCCGACAAACGGGAACAAAGAAAACTGCAGCCGGCTGGGCAATAAGTGGCCGAGCGTCCAATGGAAATCCTTGGTCTCACGGTCTGAGCAGCCAGATGTTGATAGATATCGCCAGCAGCTGTTTACGGTATGCTCATGGGCCCCGGAACGATGTATATTTCGTCTCGGCGGGAATACCACAATAGGTAGGTATGGAGTACACCGGAGGAGCCAAACTCTGAATACCGGCGGCATCTACTCCGTATCTCGTCCTCAGGGCAATCTGCCAATCTCCCAACGCCGTGGAATCCCTAGAATTCTCAGTTTCGCATTGTGTGCCCCGTAGGGTGAGTATGTAGTGGACCCAACAGCGATCGTCGACCAAGGATCCAGAATTCAGGAACGAGAGGATAGGATTCCGACGGGTTGGGCGCTAGTCGGAGGGGAGCAGGCATTGGTAAGCTAGACGAGACGAGACTAAAGTCACTAATCCTCTCGCTACTCAGTAACTAGTCGTCAGGACTCCGTGAGTCCGTCCGAGACCCAAGGAAACAGTTTCTCAATGACACATAATAAGAACGGGATGATGGGGCCCTGACAGCCGTTGAACAGGGTTCACCAAGGATTGTCCCAGTATCAAGCAACGAGGCAGTGAGGCGTACTCCTGAGTAAGGTCGAGCAGTTCTTGGGGCCTGAAACCGGGGCAGGATTAGACTAGCAGCCTTCTTTCTCCATGAAGGAAAAGCCGAGAAATTGGAGGCCTGAAACCGAGACCAACACTACGGCGAATGTTGCCTGAGCCTCGCAGATGTTTCAAGCTGACCAACACTAACAGTCTAACTACGGGGTTCACACTTCACAGAGGGCGAGGCAGAATTAGAGAATTCAAGGAACCCCCGTGAGTACAGCGCCCGTACCAAACGGGACATTACCGTGGATTCTTCCCGATCCATCAATCATGGCTCACAGAATCCGATTGTGGAGGATCTGGGTGATTAATATTATCGGAGACAAAAACAATCAAAACAAGATGAAGAGAAAACCTGCCCGATCCATGACGACAGAGTCTCCGTTTTCTTGCCGCGCTGAAGGATCCAGATCGGTCGGCCGACCGTCAGACCCGTGGAATGCCATCACCTTAATTTAATGAGCATAACCATGATGGGAATCCAATTTCCTACAAATTAATTTCCTTCCTTGTGCATCGCTCGTCCCTCCAATCCGATCAAGCTTTTTCCGTCGCCGGACGGAGGTGCTCGACTCCGTTTGCTCGTCCGGCGTTTCAGCGGGCGGGTAAAGTTTGACGGGGCGAGATACGCGACCGGCTCAATGCTATTCTTATTTCTTCTTTTTTCCTTCTCAAGGCTGTTGAAATTTTAATTAAAAAAAATAGTCGTCAATCACGATGGGGTGCATGATTCAGTCGTGCCGGAAGTCTGGCCAGACTCTCATCGGAATAATGAACTAATTCAGCCCTTGGCCCTAGTTAGCAGATCAACGGCGAAGGGAGCCATCGGAATAGAGTTGGACCAATTTTTGACCTCGATTCGCAGGGATTTCAGGGATGCAATAGAACAATCCCCTTTCGAGGTCCACGGGGTAACTGCGACCGTTTATATGGCGAGGACAGACTTCGTCAGTGGATTGCCTCGCGCCCTTGCGGACGACCACTGCGATGACGCCATAGATCACCAACTTCATTATTAATCCAAAATCGCCCCTCTCCGTCCCCTTCCTTCGGATCCGGTAGATCCCTTTGGGCTCCTTCCATACTCCTTCCACTAACAGCTCCTTGAGCGCACTATCTATCTACCTTACCTACCCTCCAATCTAGTTACCACACCCCATCCATCAGATAATGCAAGTCCTTCTCCTCGGCGGCCACGGCAAAGTCGCTCTGCGATTGACCCCGCTTCTCCTCAATCGCGCCTGGAACGTCACCAGCGTGATCCGCAACCCGGACCATGAGCCCGAGATCCTTGCCTTGGGCAAGGGCACCAAGGGCAAACTTAATGTCCTGATCTCTAGCTTGGATGATATCAAGAGCGACGCCGACGCAAAGAAGATCCTAGACGCCGTGTCCCCAGATTATGTCGTGTGGTCTGCCGGTATGCTCCTTTTTTTCTTGTTTATGTTACTGTTTGAACCCTAGCCCCTCTGATAGTTGGTTGGGTTTAAAAGTCATCCATCTATCGATCCATCCTGCTTGCATGCGCTCTGCATGGCAGTTGCAGTTGCAGTTGCAGGTTCCCCATGTCTCCGCCCCCTTCCCTCTCCCTATCTTCCCCATAAACTCTAAGAAAGCAAAAACATTGCCGCTAGACTTCCGATCGATCGATCCATATCTATCTTTGTATATACAGTAGGCTAATCTGGTGTGGTTCCCCGGGGCCCTTCTCACTCTCCCTCATCCCTACCCCCTTCTACTCCTTTCTCTTCTGTCCATCTGATCCCCCTTACCTCCCCCGGAGGGATATTCTCTCATCTCTCAAGAGAGGACCGGACTAGAGACCAAGATCAGAAGAGGACGAAGAACAAAGAAGGGGAATGACCCACCCGCGCACCCACCCACAGCCACAGGCCAGGAGGGAATTGTGGATTGGGTATCGGGGAGGGGGAGAGTTCGAGAAATTCCCCGTCAAGGAATGGGAACCACAACCACCCTTCAGGCGCCGGCGGAAAAGGCGGACCAGAGCGAACCTTCGCGATCGACGAACGAGCAGCCAAGCACTTCCTCACAGCCTCATTCGCGTCTCCGCGCGTGACCAAATTCCTACTCGTCTCATGGCTCGGCAGCCGCCGGGTTCATCCAACCTGGATGTCCGACGCAGACTGGGCCGGGGTGCAGAATGTCTTCAACAATGTGCTGCCGGCGTATGCGAAAGCCAAGCTCGAAGCAGACGAGTACATGACGGCGTTAGCGGCGCAGCGCAAGAAGCAGGTCTCAGTCGGCCAGGCGGGGCCGATCCAGGCGATTAATCTGCGTCCTGGGACGTTGACGGATGAGCCGGCGACTGGGAAAGTCGCGTTGGGTGTCACACCTGGACGGAGCAAGGTAACGAGGGAGGATGTGGCGATTGTGGCGGATCGGTTGTTGGCGCGCGCGGATACTGACGGTTGGTATGATTTGGTGAATGGGGAGGAGCCGGTTGATGAGGCGGTGGAGCGCGTGGTGAGGGAGAAGGTGGATGCCGTGGAGGGAGAGGATGTGGATGCGATGGTAAAGCGCTTCTTTCCTTGAGATACTTAAGGTCAAGACTGTGATTTAGGGTTGAGGTTGGTTGTTTCTTTGAGTTTAAGGTCAAGGTTGTGAATTAGGGTTGAGGCCGTGGCCCGCCTTCTACTCAGTTATTTGATATCAGTATGAGAGTGTTCCGTTGGATCTGAAACGGGATGAGGAATTCGAAGATCACGGAATAAAAACGTCAGAGGACATGGTGATGATATTATGACTGCTTGTCTTCTGAGTTATTTTTTTGTCTTTTCTTTTCCTTTCTGCACCTTCATCGCCTTCATCGCACTTGACCCCCCCCCCCTGATTGTTTCGTCCCCTCTCATTTATCCCTCTCTTGATACAATATGGCAAATTCCATGGCCGACTTCCCCAGCTCGATGGAAGTCGATCCCATTGTATGGATGCCGCTAGCGGCCATGGCTGCTGTCTTTTTGTTGACTGCATTCAGTGTATGCCCCTCTCTATCCTTTTTATTTTTTTTTTTAATTTCTCTTAGCCGAGATGCTGTGTAATTCATACTTATATATAGCTGATATTGAAAATTTATATTGATAGGCATGGCTGCTTTCTCCACCAAATTCCCGTTCGGAGCCCTCACCATGGGAAGATCCTGGCGCCTTAGAGGCACGCGAATTTGAAATTGTGGATGCAATTAATGCTGGTGATGATGTTGATAAAGATAAGAAACCTGAAGAAATGGTCTAATGGGCTGGTATGTGTGGAGCTCGAAAAGTTCGAATAGAACCACTGTTTGTGTTGCGTTGCTTTGCTTTGGGGGACTAGCTGAATATGAATGTATGGAATGAGATTTACTGAGGTGACGCCTTGATAACATATCCGGTTCTTTTCTCTATTGACATAATCTTCATTGATGATAACCTGCTAACGTATAGAGAGCTACTAGAGGGGTTACAGTTTCGCCTTCGGTACGGCAGTTTCCTCCTTCGCCTGTTTCTTCAGCACGCGGCGCAGAATCTTCCCGCTGACACTCTTGGGGATCTCATTGACGAATCGTACGCCTCCGCGCAGTTTCTTGTGATATGCAACTTTATCATCCAGCCATTTCACGATATTAGCGCCCTCCTGCTCGGCACTGACGCCAGACGCCTTGCTCTTTGCGCCTCGCACGACGAAAGCCAGCGGCACCTCCGTGCCGTGCGCTTCACTCTCCACGCCGATGACCGCGACATCCTCGATGGCCTCGTTGTCGACCAGGATGCCCTCCAGCTCGGCAGGCGCCACCTGGAATCCCTTGTACTTGATGAGCTCCTTCACGCGATCCGTGATGAAGAAGTTCTTATCCTTATCCTGGTAGCCTACGTCTCCGGTCTGGAACCATCCGTCAGACGAGAGACAGCCCGCCGTCGCGGCCGGGTTGTTATGGTAGCCCATAAAGACATTGGGGCCGCGGAGATACAGCTCGCCCACCTCGCCGACGGGGACCTCGCGCGGCTCCGACCCATCCTCGGGCACGGTCATGTACTTGGCTTCCATGTTGGGGAGCAGCTTGCCGACGGCGCCAATACTGGTTCGCCACTCTTCCCACGGCTGCGTGTGGGTGGTGGGGCTGGTTTCGCTGAGTCCGTAGCCTTGCTTGATGCCCGTCTTGATGCGCGCGTACACCGTCTCCACGAGTTCTTGCGTGAGCGGGGCGGCGCCGGAGTTCATCATGCGGAGACTCGACAGGTCATATTTGTCGACGATGGGGTGCTTGCCGAGGAGAAGGACCACCGGGGGAACCACGTAGCTGAAGGTGATGCGGTAGTTCTGGACGTGGGCACACCACTGCTCGATGTCGAAGCGCTGCATGACGACAAGTTGGTAGCCTTGGTAGAGTGTCTGGTGGACAAGACAGTTCAGGCCTAGTGGACGTGTCAGATTTCCTGGACTCGAAAGGAATGTGGTACGTCAGGTTGAACTCACCGTAGATGTGGAAGAACGGAAGGAAGGCCAGCACCCGGTCTCCTGTTCCATCCACGCCCCCGTTCCAGGTCAGATTGCCCGCCTCGCCGGCAGCAAGCTGCAGGGTGTTAGCGATGATGTTTCTGTGCGATAGCATCACACCCTTCGGCACCCCCGTGGTCCCCGACGAGTACACAAGGAACGAGAGGTCCTTTTCGGGGACGATCTTCGTTTTGCGAAACCTGGTTGCGCCCGAGATATTCCGAACGGATGTGAAGTGCTTGATCTTTGACTGGGGATCGCGCTCGTCGCCGATCAGGAAGATCCGGTCCTCGGGGATCCCAGCGCGCTTGGCGGCTTCAATCGCAACGGGAAGCTGAGGCACCTGGGTCGCCAGGGCCTTCGCGCCGGAGTTCTGCAGCTGGAAGGCAAGCTCGTCAACGGTGTAGGCGGGATTGGCGGGCGAGATCACGCCTCCAGCCCAGTGGGTTCCCCACATCACGACGGGGGTATCGATGCTGTTGGGGGTGAACAGGGCCAGCACATCTCCTTTGCGCCAATCCCAGGTAGCTTTCAATCCTTTGCCGAAGGAAAGCGCGGCGTCCTTGACGCCTTGGTAGGTGTAGTATCGTTGCGTGTCGGCATCCTGGTAGATGACTAAATGGGGCGGTTAGTTGCGGGGATAGTTACTGGATGTGCGGAGAAAATGCCCGCGCAAGCTCGCCGTTCGGGGGACTGACTTTTGTCATCAGGGAATTGCCTTTCTTTGCGCTCGAATAGGAATGTCCAGAGATCCACGTTGGGGATATCAACGGGAGGATAATGTGAGGATACAGGCATGGTGATAACTGTGCGGGGAAAGTTGGGGTAGAAGATCTTTGGGGGTGATTTGGGGAAGGTCGAGTGGGAGATTGCAGGAGGGAAGAGTATTTAGGATAAAGGCTGTTATATAGATGCACAGCAGGTATGTAAAATTGGAGAGGAGCGGAGAGTGAATGAAAGGAAAGAAACTGGGAAAGATGAGATAAAGGGAAGCTTTGTGGAAGGTGGAAAGTCAACGCTCGGCCCTCGGTATTAACGGTTGTCTACTTCGCTGCTTAGCGCTTACCCACCGCAAATCGTTGGGATCTTAACCGCCATTGCTTCGTTGTCTGCCGATTGGCATTCTACACCGTGGACGCCCTGGCATCTGCCTTGGTGATTGATAATCATAGGGCTTCTGAGATTTCACTAATTTGTCTGCAACAATGGCTGCGATTACTACTACATACTATTGAGTCTATCGAGGCTAAACTACTCTGACGTACCCGGCAATCGGCACGTCCCCTGTAAGGGGGTTTATTGATTACAAAATTGGCGCCACCTGGCTTGCTCTCATTCTTTCTACTGTCAAATGAGAATGGACGTGTTCCCTCGAGTATTAGTTATAGACCTGGATAAGGTAGTAGTTCTATTTCGTAATTCATACAGATCAACAACGGAGCCAAGCAAGAGTGGAGGCTGCAGGGCGCAAGCTGACTAAACGCGGGGGAGTCTCCATTTTCTCTTCTCGGGAATCGAAGAGACTCATGCTTCATGGTTGTCATGAATCTGGTGAATACACCAGCATTCGGTCACCAGCCTGTTGTCAGTCTGCTACGGGCATAGTCCGTTGACCGACTCAACAGACACAGACGAGAAGTCAGACACACCGAGTAACCTTGTCCCAGCCTCCATTGTGAAGAAATACCTAGCCATGGAAGACGACCCCTCCGTCTGCGTGGCCGCCAACCCACCAATTTTGGTGTTCGTCCACCACACACCGCCTCGCTTACCGACCAATCACACACGACATACTGCCGTTTCTATTTGGATATAATTCATTCTAAGGTTGTTCCTTGTGCCTTCGGGCATTTGGTCAATTTGAAACGATACAGAGAAGATTAGCATGGCCCCTGCACTAAGGATGACACGCTCAATCAAAGAGAAGCTACCAGTTTTTTTTTTTTCCTTACCGACCTTCCTGTGAGGTGCGGTGTTTTGCTGGTTAGTTATCCTATAACCTGGTGGCGCGGGGTTCGAATCTCGCTCTTGCCAACTTTTTTCTCTCTTTTTCTTTTGTTTTAGAAGGGCCCAAAGACAACCACAACCATGCTAGTATAATACAACTTATAGCACCATAAAAACGAGTCATAATATTTGCCATATACTCATACAGCCAATGCAATGCTCTTCTATACAAGTCTACGGGATTAAATGTACATGTCAAAAGTCCATTACATCAAACTGGTTCGCCCCCCGATCTCGTTGCCCGCCTCGCCGTTGGGCATCTCGCCATTCCGACCGAAGACGAACTCGCGGTAGATCCCCTGCAGCCTTCTCCGTTCGGCCACGCTCAGCGAGCTGCGAGTGCTGTTGAGCGATCGCTCCATGTGCTCCCAGCGGACGATGATCTCTTCCCGCGGTTCTTCGTGGGTGGCCTCGTTGGTGGCCGGGGTCCCGGTGTTCGCCGTGCCTTGCTCCACCTGGCGTTGGCGGCGTCGTGCATTCTTAATGGCGTCGAGTTTGGACGCGACGACCGCCGGCGACGGCATCGAAGCGGTTCCGTTCTGCTCCGAGTTGGAGTACAGGAACTGAATGAAGGATTTGGTGCTAGTACCCGTCGATGACGGTTTGGCGCCACCGCCCTTCGTCGCGGGTTTGTCCCCGGTGCGGTCTCCGAGAGCGTCGTGGACGGCTTCTAGATGCGCATTGTACACGACTGCCTGGAGGTCGGCTCCCGAGAAACCTTCCGTTCTTGCGGCCACCTCGTCCAATCGAGCGGCCACCTCCTCGTCCATCGCCAGCTTTTTACTCACGGCCTGGATAATATCCATGCGGTCCGACTGGTTGGGCATGTCGCAGAGCAGGGACTTGTCCAAACGTCCCGGACGCAGCAGCGCAGGGTCAATCAGATCGGGGCGGGACGTGGCGGCGAGAACGTACACGCCCGAAAGGCCTTCGGCACCATCCATTTGCGTGAGAAGCTGGTTGACAACGCGGTCCGTGACACCGGTGGAATCGTGACCTCGCTTGGGTGCTATACTGTCAAACTCATCGAAGAAAAGGACACAGGGCCGGGCCGCCTGGGCTCTCTCAAACAGATCACGCACGCTCTTCTCGCTTGCACCGATGTATTTGTTCAGGATCTCCGGACCCTTGACGCTGATAAAGTTCAGGCCACACTCTCCCGCCACGGCACTGGCTAGCATGGTCTTACCGCACCCGGGGAAACCGTAGAGCAGCAAGCCCGAGCGCAATCGGAGCGGGCATTGCGCAAAGATAGGGGCATATTTGGTAGGGTATTGCAATGTCTCCAAGAGGGTCTTGCGAGTCTCGTGCAAACCGCCAATACCAGAGAATGTAATAGTAGATGAGGTCAGAGTCACATTGCGGAGGGAGGCCGGGGTAAAGCCCTTGATGGCGTTTTCAAAGTCCTCCAATCCAAGGGTGATTGCTCTCGACGCCGCCAAGGGGTCTTGGACGGATCGGATCAGAGCCTCGTTTCGGGCACGAGAGACATACAGGACCAAATCACCAGGCATATATCCATCGGTTTTACCGGCCAGTTCGAGGAAATCAACATCACGCCCAAGCACAAAGCCATCAGCACCCGCTGAGCTAGGACGGCTACCTGGGTTTGAAGGATCCAGCCAAGAATCCTGGGTGGATGAACTCTCATTTCGCATATGACCATTCATCGAGATGCTCGCCTCTCGATCTTGGATCGTTAGTTGTTCGAGCACCTTTCGTCGCCCATCCTTGTCGGGGGCTCTCAAGTGGATGATCTCGCGAGCGACATGGCCTCCGATGATGGTGTTGTTCAAGGCCTCCTTTGACTGTGCTGTTGCCAAAAGCACCACCGGGGAGTTCATGGAGCAGTATTCACGCACCATAGAGCAGATCACCTCACTGTTCTGGCGACTGCGCCCATTGTCACCCCCTACCTGCAGCTCGGTCTCCGCCGGACAAAGTTTGTCCAAGTCATCCAAGATAACAACCGACTGTCCGCCGAGACGAGCACACCAAGATGCCGACATGAAAAGGCGACTTAGGGTTTCCTTGATATTGGATATGCGGGTCTCATCGGTCACGAGCTTTCGGCAGGAGAAATACTTCACATTAAATAGGTACTCGTTTCGCACACGGTGCGCCAACAGGTGGGTGAGGGCTGTCTTTCCAGAGCCTAAACCACCCGTCAATAGGATAGAAGATGACTTGGTGAGGTTATCAAGAGACTGTGATATGATCTGATCAATCCCAACCAGTTGAGGCACAGTCGATGGTATGGGGTCATCGGTGGGCAAAACGGACGAACCCTGATCCGCGGGCTTCGGTATCTCGGATTGTACCTCAAGAGGCAGCTTCGAGTCTGATCCCAAGAGCCAGCCAAGAGGCGGCTTGGAAGTTTCAGAGTTGCTCTTCAATGGAGGATCGAACCGGATTATGGCACCATCAAAAGCGGACACTGTTTCGTTATCCGCTTTTGGCAAGATCATTCCATCCGTCAACGGCCCGGAGAGTAACCCTGTATCGGACCCAGAGCTACCATAAATCACCTTGATGCGCTCGGCCAAGGCATCCTTTGCGGCCGTGGTGTCTGCACCAAACTTGAGGCCATCTTTCTTCTTGGAAGGATCGGAGATGAAGGGGTGGACTTTGAGAGACTTCACTGCCGACCGCTGCAGCGGTGGCGGTGATGCCTCAACACGAACAATACCACCTACCATGTTCTCAGCATTTAAAGCTGAGCACAATAAAGATGACACAGCGACATGCTGAGTATCCGGCGCATCGACCCACGGGACCAATTTGGCCACGATTTTGGTGGCGGGCAAGCCAGCATCATTTGACTTTTGCTCCGCTTGATTCACTTGCTGCTGGGGATCCGGTGGGGGTTTCAGACCGGCAGGTTGAATAACTGTAATGCAACCCCAGCTGGCCCCCCGAAGCTCGTTTGTGGCAAGCATGTCGGGGTCAACCCAAACGCGAAACCCCTCATTGATATCATCCTCGGACTCCGCATCAAAGTATTGTCCAGACAGTTGGCGGTCGACGCCTCGGAAATAGAGAGCACCTCTGCTAGTTGAGTCTGTACGACTCTTTGGTCGTACCGTGCTTCCACTACTTCTCCCCCCGGCACTTCTCCGGCTGCTGCCAGTAACACTTCGGCTGTCTCCTCGTGATCCTCGCGATGACTTGGCGCGCACCTTCGGAGCAACGATTACCTCGGCATCCGGGGCGATTTTCGCAAAAGCAGAGGTGGTGGGCGGGGCAGGCGTGAGCGAGGTAACGACTATGTTTGCCGTCGATGTTGGTGACAGATGTAACGCCAAGGGGTGCATGTGATCTGCTTGAGTGGTATTGAAGGCGGGGTTAGGTAGAGCGCGGATTTGCGACAGTAGGTTCAGCTCTAAGAAGGTTGCATGTAGTTCGATGACTATAACCAAGGTCGGTCAGCTATTGCGATCAATCTCGTTCCACGAGGCGGGGGAACGTACTCTCCCAGTCCTCCGGAGTAAGTGGTTCAATGTTAATGGTGTGAGCCACTGGAGGATCCAGATGGATGAAAATCCCGACCTAAGAACATGAGTATCTTCAGAAGCCAAGTATGGTTATAGTCGATGAGCTACCTTCTGCCCCTCTGCAAGGCCCAAAACTCTGCTGAATGTGGTATCCAACTCGACCGTAGCGACATCTTGCTCTCTGGCAGAAGGTCCGCTGCTTATCCCATCTCTGCTAACTACCGGCGCAAGCTTTCGCTTGCTCGGCATTCCCGTCCACCCCAGATAGCATGAACGTTGCGCGGAATTGCCATTGGCCCTTCCAGCCGTAGGTCTGTATTGTAATTCAACGATGACATTTTGTGCGGTCTAATGAGACAAGTTAGCCGTGCTGGGTACCCCCTCAAGAAGACTGGGAAGGCGACGTACGGTGTTCGCATTGACCAGCAGTGCGGTCAATGATGGTGGCAGATTCACCAGACAGTTCTTCAGAGGCGCGAGAGCGACTTCCGCCGTCGTGGAGGGCTTTCGGGGCGCCATTTCCAGGCGCTATAGAAATCCAATGATCTACTATGGACAAGCGACGCAGGGGTAGGTCCAGGGGAGTAGTAGCGAGGAGGGAGAGAAGAAACGAAGCTCACTATCTCCCCGGACTTCGATCGACTCCGCAGTCCAATTGCCCGCCAAATGCCCGTTGGCCGAGGCGGCCCGCCTCGTGCTCTTCGGACCGAGACATTATCCGCTCCGGAACACGTGCCTGGCGGCCATGTCGGGTCCGGACTAGCGCATCTTCCGGAATGGGCGACGCGTCACTTTCGCGTCGCGACGTGTTGGGCGCCTAAGGCCAGCGCCCGCCCGGGCGGCTCTGCAGAGATCCACCACCACCACAGACTAACTTCTCTTCTCCGAGAAATCCACCAAGAGTGCAAAGCAACCGCTTCCTTTGGCTTCCGGTCCATGCGATTTTAGTTTGGTCGCCATTTGAAACCCCTCTAATAGCCAATTGTCCTGGCTAGACCCCTTGTCGCATCATGGCTTTGCTTCAGTACAGCGCCCCTGTCGATTATGCGGCGCAATTAGACGCCTTCAAGGACTTCCTGCAGCACTTCAAAAGCTTTGCATCGTCCGACGCCTCCGCTGCGACCGAAGCGATTGAAGATCTGCACATCGATGGAGATCGCACCAGCGACGAGTATGACTTTATGGATGATGCGGAAGATGGTGAAGGGAGAGAGGGAGCTGACCGTAGACGCCGCCAACCAAAGCTCAAATACATGCAGATGTTGCAGGATGTAGCCGACCGAGAGCGGTCGAGTATCCTCATCGAGCTGGATGACCTGGCTACCGTGAGTATATCTCTGAATGTTTGCTTCGGGTGGCTAACATCGTGACTTTAGTTCGAAAAATCACTCCCCGAGGACACCGACCTGAAGCTCGTCGATTCCGTGCAGAAGAACACCAAGCGATATGTCGATGTTTTTTCGTCCGCTGCCGACGCCGTTATGCCCAAGGAAACTAAGGAGATTACGTATGTCGGAATATCGCGTACATACGGTGGATATATTCATTAACAACATGCAGGTTCAAGGACGACGTTCTGGATGTTATCATGTCGCAACGCGACAAACGAAACGAGGCTATGAACATGGCCATGGAGGCCGATATGGATGCAGTCACCGAACCCTCGATATTCCCCCCGGAATTGACCCGTCGATACACCTTGAATTTCAAGCCCCTCACTCCTTCGGGGTCCAGCAGTGAGCGCGAGGGCAAGGCTCTTGCCGTCCGGAATGTGCGGGCTGAGCATCTCGGTAGCTTGATCACCGTCCGCGGTATCACCACTCGTGTCTCGGACGTCAAACCTGCCGTTCAAATTAACGCCTATACTTGTGAGCGCTGCGGATCTGAGGTTTTCCAACCGATCACTACGAAGCAGTTCATGCCCCTGACGGAATGTTTGTCGGAAGAGTGCAAGAAGAACAACAGCAAGGGACAGTTGCTCCTCTCCACTCGTGCCTCCAAATTTATTCCCTTCCAGGAGGTGAAAATCCAGGAGATGGCAGACCAGGTGCCAGTCGGCCATATCCCTCGAACTATGACCATCCACTGCCATGGAAGTCTCACTCGACAAGTGAATCCCGGTGATATAATCGATCTTGCAGGAATCTTCCTGCCTACCCCTTACACGGGTTTCAGGGCTATCCGCGCCGGTTTACTCACTGACACCTACATCGAGGCCCAACACGTCACCCAGCACAAGAAGTCTTACAACGAGATGGCCATGGACAGCCGAACTCTTCGGAAGATTGAGCAATACCAGAAGTCTGGAAACATGTACGAGTACCTGGCACGGTCGATTGCTCCCGAGATCTACGGTCATCTTGATGTGAAAAAGGCACTGCTTCTTCTCCTCATTGGAGGTGTCTCGAAGGAGATGGGCGACGGTATGCGTATTCGTGGAGATCTCAACATTTGCCTGATGGGTGATCCTGGTGTTGCCAAATCTCAATTGATGAAGTACATCGCCAAGGTTGCTCCTCGCGGTGTGTACACGACCGGTCGAGGAAGCAGTGGTGTCGGTCTCACGGCTGCCGTGATGAGGGACCCGGTGACGGATGAGATGGTGCTGGAGGGTGGTGCGCTGGTCCTGGCCGATAACGGTATTTGCTGTATTGATGAATTCGACAAGATGGACGATTCAGACCGGACTGCCATCCACGAAGTGATGGAACAGCAGACAATTTCCATATCCAAGGCTGGAATCACCACCACGCTCAACGCTCGCACGTCTATCCTGGCGGCCGCTAACCCTCTCTATGGAAGATACAACCCCCGTATTTCTCCGGTGGAGAACATTAACCTTCCCGCTGCATTGCTTTCGCGTTTCGATATCATGTTCCTTATCCTTGACAAGCCTTCGCCCGAGGGCGACGAAGAACTGGCACACCACGTCACCTATGTTCATATGCACAACAAGCACCCCGAGACCGAGGATGCCGGTATTATGTTCACTCCCCACGAGGTCCGTCAGTACATCGCCAAGGCGCGCACCTACCGACCGGTTGTCCCGTCGACCATTTCCGATTACATGGTCGGGGCGTACGTGCGGATGCGAAAGGACCAGAAGACCGACGAGGCCAACAAGAAGCAATTCACTCACGTCACCCCCCGTACTCTGCTGGGTGTTGTCCGTCTTTCGCAGGCTCTCGCGCGTCTTCGTTTCAGCGATGTCGTCGTCACTGAGGACGTCGACGAAGCTCTGCGCCTTGTCGAGGTCGGCAAGTCATCCTTGTCCAGCGATGGCCACAACGGCGGTGACCTGAGCCCCACCAGCAAGATCTACAACCTGATCCGCCACATGCGCGACAGCGGTGCTGCTGCCATTGGAGATGGCGAGGAGGGTGCGCTCAGCATGCGCAGAATCCGGGAGCGGGTTCTCGCGAAGGGCTTCACGGAGGATCAGTTGACGGTGGCTATTGGCGAGTATGAGAGTGTCAATGTAAGTGTCTTTTGTTTTGCCCCTTTAATCATACAAATGACTAATATGATCCACCAACAGGTCTGGCAAGTTCTTGGAGATGGTACACGCTTGGTGTTCCTTGAGATTGATGACGAGATGGCTGAGTGATGGGAGTACACATCATCTAATCATTGTATTTGACGATTGTTTTCTAATGTTTACTTTGGCCATGACTACCTGGCTTTTGAATTTTTTTTTTTTTTTTTTTCTTTTCATCGTTCTCTTTTATTTCCCCCTGATATCTAGGGAAAGGGGGTTTCTGTCTCCTGCGAGATAAGTTGGGGATTGGATGTGAGATCTCATTGCAAGGGTAGAATCCGGGACCGGTGTTTATGGAGTATGTAGCTTTATAACTAGTATTTCCCACGAGAGGCGATAGGGAAACAAAATCTGACATGATAAATTTTCGGACTACAGATGCAATTAATTCCGATAAATTATTTTTTATTTTTATTTTTTATTTTTCAAAAGGTTCTTTCCATTGCTGTTGACTATCTGACACTGAAGGAGTGACTGACACTAACTCGAGACAAATCACATATCACTTGCAACTATACCCAAGAAATGTATAAGGAGAGAAAGCCATGGAGCCAACTCCATGACAGATCAGATCAACCAACCCCTCGACAGTCGACACAAAGACAGCCATATATATGCATGGCACTTGCATGTATATATACATCTATCAATCCATCCACCCACCCCAACCAACCAACCCTCCTGTTCAAATCAGATCAGACTAGAACAGACCAGAACAGACCAACCAGCCAAGACTCTAAACAGCACATTGGTTCCGAATGGGCACCTCAGCGCAGAGGTTGGGTCCAGCGCCATTGTGGTTGTTGCAAAGGGTATTGCACTCGGTAGACTCGGGGGTGAAGACCAGGAACTGGTAGTTCGGGACATTGAGACGGAACTGCTTGTGGATGTTGTTGTTGTCCGTGGAGGCCTTGTAGCCGGCGCGACAGGCGCAGTGGAAGCGGGTGCCGGTGTTAATGCATGAGGTGGTGATGTCGCAGCTGTTCTGGCCGGAGACCGGGTTGCAGGTGCCGCAGGTTGGAGGGGGAGGGGGACGGCCGGCCACGGCGAGGGTGGAGGTGCTGAAGAGGGCCAGCGCGGTGAGGATGGTGAACTTCATTGTGGTTTTTTAGTTTAAGTGGATGAGAGAGAGAGGCAGAGAGAAGAATTAGAAGCGGCAGACTGGATAGTAGACTTGGTTCAGAGCAGACGAGAGAAGGCTGATGCGATGAAGAGGATATCTTCGTGGTGCTCTTGACCTCTTTATATATTCATTTCGTTGCCATGCTTGGTTCAATCTCAACCGACCCTGCATCTATAGGGGTCTGCCTACCTCCCGGATCGTCTCTACTTCGTCCCCCGTATAGATCCCCGTATAGTCTCCAGAGACAAGTCAGGCGTCGGATATTGTCTCCATTCCGTAACGCCACCTGAGAAAAAAAAAAATACAAAACAGCACATTGCTCTCCACGTCATAGAAACAGGTCAACAAAGAGAAAGCCTAAAATTGTGAGACATTGTCTCGAACACCTTCGCATCTCCTTGTGTTTTCCTAGAGAAAGTGGGAAAGAGATCTCGGGCTACGAATGGGTGGTTCGGGAATACGAGGTCTACAACCCCGTCTTGCTTTTTTGCCTCTGCCCACCCTTGCATGGGTTGGGCGTGCGGATGAACAGCTTCTGCACGACGAGGTAATGATGTTGATTTGGAGTTATCTAGGCCATATTTTCTGTGGACTGAGGGGCGAAAAAAAGAAGCAAAACGGGAAAGAGAGCTTGGTTGCTTTCCCCGGACTTTCGAACTGCACTAGACTGACCATGCATGAGGGGAGATCCGGGGAGTGAGCTGGACTGGACTGGACTGGACTGGAAGGGGCTGGACTTGTCATCTGTCGGAATCTTTCAGGTTTTTCTGGGTGTTTGCCTGGCTCGTGTTATTGGTGGTTATTCATAGAGAGAGTATAGGAGCTGGACTTACGGATTGGACGTCTCTAATTTATTCTTTACGATGTGTGATGCAGAAAAAGGGGACCAGCTGCTGGAACATAGCAAATCGTCGCCAGTGGCAAGCGATGGACAGCTAACTTTGAGCTGTCTCCCAAAGTCATTTTTTGCTTTCGAGCTGAGCAATAGTAGGTCGGGATACGAGCATGTACGCTGACACACAGTAGTCATTGCTGATGGATATGCAAGCCGCTTAATCCCTGAAACAGTTTATAAATAGGAAGACAGTTGGGTCATGAAAAATCTACCAATTGGGCCAGTAAAACCCCTCATGGGTGTCTGAAACAGTGTTCATGATGCCTGTCGGTGAAAGTCGGTATGTATGGACTCCGCTTGTCGTGCCTATGATATCCAAATAGGAAAGACATTGGTCGACTTCAGCTAGCCACTTTTCACTGGCCATAAAAAAAAGTCTACAGATGTACTTGCGGCCCTTCAGGTTCACCGATCAATCCCAAAAAGCTCCCGTGAACTTCCTCTGTCAGATCACTAGCTTGCATACTCCGTCCTTTGGCCTTGAAAGCGCGCCGAGAGCAGTCTCGGGTGATGGCACTGCCCGCCCAGGCAGCCAGCAGCAGCGTCGTGACGGGCGACATGCGTCGGTCTTCCGATTCCAGTTCCTTCTGGACATCCTGCGGACTCTGCGCCTCCTTAGGATTCTCCTTCTCACCGGAGTCCCATAATCCGTTATGATAAGCCGCCCGCCAGGCCAGAAGGGTACCCAATGATCCAGTAAGTGTGTCACCCTGGCCCCCGCTACGCTTCAATCCACCCGTAATGTCGTTGATGATGCTAGTCACACCGTTCGAGATCACGTCATGCGGTCCCTTTTGGATGATCGTCACACCGCCAAGTGCCCTGGAGAGCTTCTCACAGGCCTCTGTTTCTCGCTTGGTGCGGTCATCGGCACTGGATTCCGAGCCGATCTGGGCCAGACTGGGCACATCGACCCCTAAGGCCTTGGCCAGGCGACCAAACTCGTTCACATTGGGTGTCAGAATACATTCCTTGTACCCTTTCACTAGATCCGGATCATCCGTCACCAGAAGCAAGCCGTCGGCATCCAAGACAAAAGGGATCGATTTGGAGCGGGCTTCCTTCATCACCTCGCTGACTACTTTGAGTGTCACGCCGTCGCGGCCCAATCCGGGACCGATGACCAGTGCGTGGAGGCGAGAAAGCATAGCGATGATGGGACTGGCAAGAGCCGGCGCATCGATGGAGTTGGGGTTCCCTACCGACTCGCTACTAGGCAGTATCGGATGGACCATTAGATCTGGAGAGTATGTTTTTACAACCTGCGTGAATCGATTAGTCAAGTAAACTGGGAAGAAATATAATCTAGTATAGAGTCTTACAGTAGCTGCAGATCGCTCGCAAATAACATGACTCTGTCTGCTGTTAGATGAGGACCAAGAGAACCCGACAACATATGCAAGTGTCATACCATATCGCATCCTGTCAAACGGCACGCCAATCAGTATTGGCAAGACCATCTGGCCACTACCTGCGACACTTTGATTTACATACCTAGTTTGGCCGAAGCCATGGAGGAGAAGTACGGAGCTCCCGTAAAGCTGCAAAACACGGTCTCAGTCTACCTTGTTTCGTAAGCAACGTAGGTGGAGAAAGCAGCATACTCAGCAGAACCTCCGATGACAGCAACCCGTCCATGTTGTCCTGTATTGAATGTCAGCAATTGTATTTTCCCCCGAGGCGATTATCCTAAGTCAAAGCTTGACATGACATGCAAGGACACCAACCCTTATGGAACTTCTCTAATAATGGCGGTACGATCTTCCGCACCTTATTGAACAAGACCTTCGGAGAGGTCGAGATTTGATGTACCGGGTCCATATTTGAACGAATTGACGACAGAAAATGGAAGCGCAATGTACAGTAATAACCGCTGAAAGAAATAACAAGAAGTTTGGGGTGGAGAGGTCAGGAGGTGGTGATAAGGAGAAGAAATGCCCGCGCGGAGGTTGGACGAAAGCAATATCGCCGGTGATGTCACCGCCTGCCAGGTGGGGCCCGATAACCGCCTGCGAGCCTGAGGGGTGCGACATCATTTTGACATCTTTACCAGTGTAGGCTGTGGTCCGAGGTTCTGGGGTTATCAAAAGCCACTGGTATCGTGCCTGGGCTGTGTTCTGTATCTAGTAGGCTTTTTTTGTCCTACTCAAACAAGGTGTCAGGCAAAGAACAGCATCTGTCATAGTGTATCGAAGACAATTGATTGAATAAGGCAAATATATCACTTAGCTACGCAGTGAGGTGATGCCTGAACACCTGGGAAAGAAAGAGATAGAGAAACTAGGTTTGAAATTGGAAGATAATAAAGGAACGCTATGTACGGAGTAAACACCGGGGGGCGTGTATGGAGATATGTAAACAAAGGGCGAATATTCGTAGATATGAGAGAAAAGCAAAAGATCGAACCATCTATCGACACCTTGACGCTCGCTGATGCTCGTAGCAAGTGGAAGCCAACAAAGAAAAGAAAAGCAAAGTCGTATGTAATGCACCCTCGGGGTATACCTCGCTGATGCTCCGTGTCCAAGTCAAAAATGTGCTGACGAAACCCATGTAGAACTACTGACAAAGAAATGACAAATGAAAAGAAATGAAAAGAAAATAGAAAAGATAAGAGAAGGCACCGAAAGGTATTCGAAAGGGATGCTGGAAAGACTCAGCGTCTTCTGGCTGCCAAAGCAGCAAGTTTATTACGGCGGGCCAACTTCTCTTCCTTGGCTGCTTGTTCAGCGCGCGCTTCTTCATCATCCTCTCGCCTGGCAGCGGCTAATGCTTTGGCTTCTTCTTCCACCACGTCCTCAAAACCACCTTCCATGTCCGAGGATGCGTCCGAATAGAAGTCATCATAGTCGTCTGCATAATCTCCTTCATCCTCTTCATCGGTTCCAAGATATTCGTTCGCCCTTGACCGTCCTGCACCTCGGCCCTGTGCTTTCCGATCATTAGGATTGACTCGACTGGGTAATCCGGCCGTTCCCCGATACGCAGGGACTGTCGGCGTCGGCGGTGGCTTCGCAGTGCCCTTATATGCGAGCTCTTCGGGTTCACGTTTCTTGATGGGCTTGGTAGGGCCTGCGCTAGGAGCTGCTCCAGACTTCTTGGCGGCTGGGCCTTCCTTGCCCTTCGACTGCGTTTCCTGCGCCTTTTTCTTGCGTTCCATTTTGCTAAGCTTTTCCTTTGGAACGGCCTGATGCTTGAACATGCCCACTTGTGACGGTGCAGTATCTTGAAGTGCCTTGGCTTTGGCCATGAGATCCGCATATGAACCTTTAGGCGGGGCTTTCGAGGATGCCGGGGCTGCCTTTTGAGTGGCAAATGTACTGCTGTTGGTTGAAGGTTTGGAGGATCTGGCGGGAGAAGCGATGGTGGGACGAGGCTTGGCAGATGTGGATGCCATGGCTGGTCGTGAAGGTAAGGGTTTGCGAGGCAGTTGGGTATTAGGCTTTTGAGTACGGGGCAGCTGCTCTTCAGCTTTCCGTTTTGTGCCCGCAGCCAGAGTTTTCCGCTCGAGTGGAATATCGCGGGGGGTTGTGCTGGGCTTGCGGACTTCAGATTTGGCGGTGGAGGATGAAACCGGGGCTGATAGCGTTGACGAGGAGGGTGGTAAACGAGAGGGTTTTCCCGTCTCGATGGACGAGAGGACCGAATCGAGAAACTGCCCAAAGATTAGATCTAGTCACAAATGGATCAAATAGATGACTTCTTACACTCATTTTCACTGCTGAGATGCTGAGATCGATGCACTAACGCAAGTAGGGATCGAAGACGCGGGGTATCGATAGGCAAAAGTCACCGTCGATGATTAGTACAACGGGATAACTTCATGACTTCGTTGAATCTCTGAAGCCAGTGCTGGAGAAACGGCGATAAGACGTTTCCACGCTTAAACCTTGACAGTGTGAGAAGGGAAAACGAGCTTTTGCCGATTATCGCGGTGGGGAGAAGCGCTTAGCTGACCGACGTCGTCCAGGAGAAAACGTTGGGAGAGGAAGGGGAAAGACAAGGAGCGAGTCGCCATCCTGTCTTCTAGAAGCAGCGAGTCACGTGCAGCATCGAATTCGGACAAAGAGGAGCCTTACCGTATTAGGCAGCAAGCGCCTGCGCCACAGGCGCTCGCTTAGAGGCCCGTTCTCACCAGCCACAACCCACCAGGCGCGGCGCACTTTTTCTCAAGAATTCGATGATCCTCTTCTCAACTTTTACTTCATTCTCCTCGTCAACCTCCGAACTCGACGTTTCAGTCTCCGCCCAACACCAGCGGTTAAATCGATTGATTCTCGTGTTTGAATACACTTAATAAATCTGTATGTGCATCTTTCGAATCGACTCGCCAGTCTCGTTGGTACTTGCGCGCGGAAATTAAATTCTAACGGAGTTTTTGCCATCACAGATTCAAAATGAAGCACGTCGCCGCTTTCCTCCTCCTCACCCTCGCCGGCAACGAGTCCCCCTCGGCCGCTGACGTTAAGGGCGTCCTCTCCTCCGTCGGTATCGATGCCGATGAGGAGCGTCTCACCAAGCTCATCTCCGAGCTTGAGGGCAAGAACCTCCAGGAGGTTAGTTAACGCAGCATGGCCCCTTTGCGCCAAGTGCGCCTACAGAATATTCACTAACCATCTTACTCCTACAGCTGATCTCCGAGGGTTCCGCTAAGCTCGCCTCTGTTCCCTCCGGTGGTGCTGGTGCTGGTGCTCCCGTCGCTGCCGCTGCCGCCGGCGGTGACGCTCCCGCTGAGGAGAAGGAGGAGGAGAAGGAGGAGTCCGACGAGGACATGGGCTTCGGTCTCTTCGACTAAGCAGTTTAATCAATCCGAGTCCAGAAAAAATTTCGATAACTCGTGGGGGAACAGGAATCTGGAGTTGGGGGAAGAAATTTGCCCAAGGAAATGGTCAAGCTTGCATATTTCAGGCTTTCCTGATGCAGTTATGATTTATGCATACGTGAAGTTTAGCCAATACAGATTGTCTGACCTCCTCGAACTTCGTTCTTAAGTTTGTCGGTATCTTTTGTAGTATGTAAGTTGCGTTCTTAAGAGATTGGCCAACTCATTGCCCCAGGCCTGAGCCGACGTACGTACGCGGAATGTCGCCCTTGATATCCCCATGGTTGATTTCAATATCAACTATGAAAAGCCAGGGACACGGCGACCAGATCTAGACTATATCTTACATTATACTGGAATGTCTAAAACAACCAATAATCAAGACCGTAAATAAAAAGCGATAAGAAATGTCCGTATCCATGGCAGTAACAATTTATAGGGCTGGGCGCAGAAGCCCTAAGAACCGTGCTCAGAAGGGAATAGTGGGGTAGGGTTATTGACCTAGCCGGGTCGCTTAGCCCGCCCACTCCCAACGCAGCACCGCAGCACAAGAGTTGGCCCAACGAACGTTCATCTAGCGACACGACACCGACAACCCCATCGTCCCTTTCGCTTTTCGAGTCCCGATCGAAAAGCGACCTTGAGAGGAACACCCGCAAAAATGGCTGACGAACACTACGTGAGTGACGACTTATGCTGAAGAAAAGTTTTCTTCAATGGTACTTTAAGAGACGCGAAAGGCTGACCCATCTTATTATTATAGAACGCTGAGGAGGCTGCCGGTACGTTTAATTTCTGAACAACACTACCCTTTACCTTGAAATTCCCAACCGTGGATACTCGATTATGAGAGATGGAATTCGATCCGGATGGTATTTGGCGATGGACGGTGTATAAAGGAAATGTTTTCGCGATGGAAAGGGATGCGGGAGGGGAAGATTTTAGCCGCCACCACGATAATCACGAGATCACGAACAAATGGAAATAGGATCAGACCGCTGACCAGAGATGTTTTTTGCTGCCCAACAGAGATCAAGAAGAGAAGACAGTTCCGCAAGTTTTCTTACCGCGGTATTGACCTCGACCAGTACGTGATAATCCCGACTTCCAACTTGTTTTCGCCTTGCGCCCTTCGAGATCCCGATCGAAACGACACTTCCGATTCCAACAATCATCGTCGCCGTGTCGGGTGGGATTTGGAGGGCGCAAGGATGGAATCTACCAGTGTCGCCTAGATGGAAGGATCTGACCAAATTCACTCTACTTACAGGCTCCTCGACCTCTCTTCCGAGCAGCTCCGTGATGTCGTCCACGCCCGCGCTCGCCGCAGGTTCAACCGTGGCCTGAAGCGCAAGCCCATGGGTCTCATCAAGAAGCTCCGCAAGGCCAAGCAGGAGGCCCGCCCCAACGAGAAGCCCGACCTCGTCAAGACCCACCTCCGTGACATGATCGTTGTTCCCGAGATGATCGGCAGCGTCATCGGTATCTACTCCGGAAAGGAGTTCAACCAGATCGAAGTCAAGCCCGAGATGGTTGGCCACTACCTGGGAGAATTCTCCATCTCATAGTACGTTTCGTCCCCTCTCTGCAGAGCGCGCATGTTCTCCGCAGACAGTGTCTTTTTGATCGATCAGTGTTCTAACAACCCCTCAGCAAGCCCGTCAAGCACGGTCGTCCCGGTATTGGTGCCACCCACTCTTCCCGTTTCATTCCCCTCAAATAAAGAAGAAAAGCTTTTTGGAGTGTCGCGTGGAGGAGGATCAGGCGTCCGGATGTGCTGGGAGAACAAAACAAATTTCGATGGATACCATATACTGCCTTTATTTGGATTCATCAACTTGTATGTCAAGTGCGGGTCAGCTGTTTGCATCTCAATATAAAGGTCTTGTCGGCATGTGAACGAAATCAAAAAATTATGGGATCCCTGGAGCTCCGATGATGAGATCCCTTGTTTGTTCCCATCTTGTTCCCCCTGGTCTGGTTGTCTGGTTTTCCCTAGGTCTTCGGACCGGGGGACGGATGGGAGAAGGCCTTTAATCTTATTCCTTTTCATTTTAGCCGGGAATGGGGTTGGTCGCAATTTTTAACGAAGGTTTTTTTTTTCTTTCATTGTTCTATCTGTTCTTGCTCCTCGCATCTTATAGAATGACGTAGACCTTTCCTGCTCTGATTGTTCAGAAGTAACAGCAGTGTGTACCACATGAACTGACCTCTCCCGACCTGGCAAACATGTCCTTCAAACATGGGGTATACAAACTATTAGGTATGGGACCTCGACGTCATCAAATTCGTACTACTTCCTAGTACTCCACACTTGCTATACATTGTACTACTCCTTCCCAACCGCCAAATCCACCAACCTCCCCATCTTCTCCCACTCCCTCCTAATATCCCCGCCCATAGTCCTCGGATCCAACCCATTAACCCGAAACTCATTATGCACCTCCGCAAACGCCCCCCTTACCATCCCCTTGAAGCTCGGCGCCGTGCAACACTCAGCCTCCCTATTAACCAGATCACTCAACACGGACCAAATAACGAGACTGAAATTCAACCCAAACTGGTCTAGCGGGATCGCGTCGCCCGATGACGATGACGATGATGGTTCCATGTCCTGCGAGAGATGGATCGTTAGCTTCGCGAGCGTCCAGGCATGTAGACAGCGCACGGGATGCGAGGCGTGAGGATACACGACCGGGTCGATGCGGAGATGACGGATAGCGCAGTGGATGAAGGCCGCAGAGAAGGATCCCGCGGCGAGGAGGCTAGTGATTAGTTGGTCTCGAAGCGAGATGTATGGTTGTCGGGTAATAGGCCAGGGCGGGGACGTTCGGCGGAGCCAGCGCATGGCGGATTCGAGCTGGATGATGGATTCAACGGGGTCGGTGTCTAGGGCGGATGCCCGGTCTAGGATTTTCTGGGCCTCTTTGCCATCTGCTTCGAGGTCGGAGGGGTCCGCTGGTGATGATGATGATGTGTTAGGAAATTTGTCGGCCGGTCCGTCGAGGCCCTGTTCGCATTTCGGACACCGGCAGTCGAAGTAGTATCGCTCGCGTAACTCGGCGCGACGGATCTTATATGGATTCGTGGTGTCGATGTAGGATATGAAGATCTGCTCGTCTTTCTGGATAGGACGGATGGCTTTCACGAACAACTGGTGGCCGTCGAACCCGACGACAGAATTGTAGTCGCAGCTGTGGTTGATCAGGGCGGCGAACGGATGCAAATAGAGACCGATCTGGTCATACAACGGATTCGTCATGTTGAACGAATTCAAATCAAGCTTTCACACGGAGTCAGCATTCTGGTGCATCATCTTTCCTCATCGCCCGCAGTTTGTGTAGAGCTCACCTTCGCCCCGAATGCCGAGATCGTTTCCTCCTTCATGTCTGTGCCAGAATACACTTTGACTGCTTTGGCCGATATTCCGATACGTTCGAGCTGAGCTGGATTATCACGCTGGATCTCCTGAACGTGAGTTTCAAGTTGGAGGAAGAGCTCCATCTCCTGGGGCGTGCACTTCTGACGCTGACTGCGTAGCACGATGCGCAGAACAGCTCTCGCATTGATGGGCAAGACGCGAGGCTTCAGCTTCTGGTAAATAGAGCACTCCAGCGAATGCGCGGCTTTCCAGTCCTTGGATTGACATGTCTGTCGAGAGTATAGGATGTTAGTGAAAACGTGACACATAGCGAGGACCAGGATCTACCAACTCTATCACAGTATTTGACCACCTGACAACCCGTACACGCCTTCAAAGCCGCATCTACATTCTCTAATTGTCTCTTGCCAAAGCATCCCGAACATGTATCGTCCAGCCTTGGCGTTTCCAGAACCGCTACAAAGGGATTTTGAATGCTCAGGACATCTTCACCGGTTTTGAGGCTGGTGGATGCGAAGAGCCCTTTCCCTAGCCCACCGGGTGCCTGTCCGGGGTTCGCTTTGGTTGATACAGAAGGAAATTCGGTGGTCAGTGACATGATGTAGTCTGGTTCATGTATGCATAAATGAGGGGCTGTTTTGCAGCTGAGCAGAGTGCAGGGACCAGTCTGACTCTCACTGCAGGTAAACCCAGGTTAGAGAGTACAATTTGGAGTCACGGCTGTACCTCAAAAAGAGTAAGGAAGAAGATATGGAGGTTCGTGTGAAGAATCGATGGAGTAAAAAAGGATGGCACCGTCGCCCGCTTAGTCATCACAAATCCAAGCGTTTTGATACTTTGAAATCTACAAGACATTAAGTGAAATTTATGAAGAGGTGAGATCCTAATTCAAATCAATAGACTAATACTATACATAAATATCAACAACCCATGAAATCAATCACGTCATCAATAAAACCTAACTAAAGATTCTTTTCCACGCTCAAGCACATAGCCTGCCTACTAAAAATGAAAATGGCAAAAATAAGACCGTGAAAAGATAAAAAGAATAATCAAACACAACCCGAAGAAAGAATACCACCAGAGCTCCTAGTCCATGGTCCACTTTTCGCCTGGAAGGAAAAAAGGCGAAGCGGAAAGTCCGGATACCAGGGCAAAAGTAACAAGTCTATCAACCTGAGTTGCCTTATCCGCTACGCCAAACAAGGCGGCTTTTTCGGTGCCTGTAACGACAAAAAGAACCAATGCAACACCGGACAATTATATCTATAAAGAATCAAAAGAAGCAAACTTTTTGTCCTTTGGGAGAGTGGACTTTGTTTACAGCAGCTTGCCACCGGCGAAGTCAGACCAGCTGCGGACTTCGGAGGGAATGCCCTCGGCACGGGGCAGCTTCTCGCTCATGGCCTGAGCAAAGAGAAGGGCGGTCTGCGAGATTAAGTTAGCATGCAATCAAAGATACTTAGAGGAAGAGAATAAGGACATACCTTAGTTTCCATGAAGAGAGGCACCCCAAAGTCGACCGCGTTACGTCTCATGACATAGTCCTCGTCGAGCAGGGTCTTGCCCCGGCTCTTGGCAAGGTTGAAGGCGCCGCGAATGTTGTACTTCTGGAAGACCTCACGGAGAGCACGCTTGTCCTTCTTGGGGAACTCGATCACCTGCACGGAGACGTTGTCCTTGGAGGTGGATTCGATGTGAGCCTTGACCTCAGGGCTGGCAGCGAAGAACTGGAAGCCCAGAGGGTTCAGGTACTCGACAACCTTGGCCAAGGAAGTGTTGTTGATGTCGCCACCAAGCAGGATACCCTCGCCAGGCTCGGGCACACGGAAGTTCATTGTGGACTGGAGAGAAGCCCAGTAGGCCTCCACGAGGTCCTTACCAAAGCAGGCAATTTCACCAGTGCTGGCCATTTCCACACCAAGAAAGGGGTCGGCACCAGCCAGACGGGTCCAGCTGAACTGGGGAACCTTGGTTGCGAGGTAGTCACGCTTGGTGCTCATGAGATCCACGGGCTCGGGGACATCACGGCCAACAAGAGCCTTGGTGGCAACGTCGATGAAGTTGGTGCCCAGAACCTTAGAGGCGAAGGGGAATGAGCGGGAGGCACGGAGGTTGCACTCGATGACCTTCAGCTCGGGGGCAGCACCCTCCTGGTCGGCCTTAATGATCTGCATGTTGAAGGGACCGGTGATCTTCCAGGCCTTGGCAACCTTCTCGGCGATCTCCTTAACACGGTTCATGATGGACTCCTCGAGGTTGGCCGGGGGAAGGACAAGGGTAGCGTCACCAGAGTGCACACCAGCGGGCTCGACGTGCTCACTGACGGCATGGAGCAGAAGCTGACCGTTCGAGGCAACGGCATCGACATCGATCTCCTGAGCACCCTCAATGAACTTAGTGATGACAACGGGGTGATCAGGAGAGACAGCGGCGGCGTTGAGCAGCTTCTCCTTGAGCTCATCGTGGCTGTAGATGACGTTCATGGCAGCACCAGACAGGACGTAACTGGGACGAACCAGGACGGGGTAGCCAACGGACTCGGCGAAACGCTCGGCCTCAGAGACGGAAGTAAGCTCCTTCCAGGCAGGCTGGTCAACGCCAATGCTGTCCAGGATCTGAGAGAACTTGTGACGGTCCTCAGCATTGTCAATGTCCTTGGGGTCGGTACCGAGGACGTGGGCACCGCCAGTCTCCTGCAGACGAAGGGCAATGTTCTGAGGAAGCTGACCACCGACGGAGACGACAACGCCGCTGGCGCTCTCGAGCTCGTATATATCCATGACACGCTCGTAGCTGAGTTCTTCGAAGTAGAGTTTGTCAGCGGTATCGAAGTCGGTGGAGTAGGTCTCGGGGTTGTAGTTGATCATGACGGTCTTCTTGCCCATGCTGCGGAGGGAAAGAGTGGCGTTGACCGCACACCAGTCGAACTCGACCGAGCTTCCAATACGGTAGACACCGCTACCCAGGATGATCGTGCCATGGTCATCAAAGGTGACATCGTGGGAAGTGGCGTTGTAGGTAGTATAGAGATAGTTGGTGTCGGCAGGGAACTCAGCTGCCAGGGTGTCAATCTTCTTCACCCAGGGGCGGATACCGAAGCTCTTTCTGCGAGCGCGGACCTCGTCCTCAGTCGAGCCAACGAGGATAGAGATCTGCTTGTCAGAGAAGCCAAGCTTCTTCGACTTGAGCATCAGCTCTTCCTGAACGCCGAAGAGGCTGCCAATCTCCTTAAGCTCATTGTTGCAATCCACAATGTTCTGGAGCTTGTACAGGAACCACTTGTCGATCTTGGTCAGATCGTGGACCTTGTCCACGGAGTAGTTCTCGTGGAGCATGGCCTGGCCAACAGCCAACCAACGGCGGTCAGTGGGGTTCTTCAGGACGTCATCCAGGTTCTCAAATGAGTCACCCTGGAACCCGAGGAATCGGGGGTCGACCTGGCGGATAGCCTTCTGGAAGGACTCCTCGAAGGTACGACCGATGGCCATAACTTCACCGACAGACTTCATGGCACTTCCGATGTCCCGGTTGACGTGCTGGAACTTACTCAGATCCCACCGGGGGATCTTGGTGACAATGTAATCCAAGCTGGGCTCGAAGTTGGCAGTGGTGGTCTTGGTCACGGCATTGGGCAGCTCGGGGAGAGTGTGTCCCAGACCGATCTTGGCAGCGGTGTAAGCAAGAGGGTATCCGGTAGCCTTGGAGGCCAGTGCCGAAGAACGCGAGAGACGGGCGTTGACCTCAATGACACGGTAGTCGAGACCATCGGGCTGCAGGGCGTACTGCACGTTACATTCGCCGACAACGCCCAAGTGGCGGACAATCTTGATGGCCGCGGTACGGAGCATGTGGTACTCCTCATCGGAGAGAGTCTGACTGGGCGCAACGACGATGCTGTCACCAGTGTGAATACCCAAGGGGTCGAAGTTCTCCATGTTGCAAACGGTGATACAGTTGTTGTTGGCATCCCGGACCACCTCGTACTCGACCTCCTTCCAGCCCTTGAGGGACTTCTCGACCAGCACCTGGGGAGAAAGGGTCAAAGAACGAGAGACCAAGTTGCGCAATTCCTCAGGGTCGTTGGCAAATCCGGAACCCAATCCACCCAGAGCATAGGCGGAACGAACAATGATGGGGTAACCAACTTGCTCGGCAGCCTCCAGGGCCTCGTCAACGGTGTTAACAGCGATGGACTCGGCGATGGGGATGTTGATCTCGTTCAAGGCCTTGGAGAACAGGTCACGGTCCTCACTGGTCTCCAAAGTCCGGATGCTGGTTCCAAGAACCTTGACGCCATACTGTTCGAAGGTACCCATGCGGTTCATCTGCACACCCAAGTTCAGAGCCGTCTGTCCACCGAAAGAGAGGAAGATACCGTCAGGGCGTTCCCGCTCAATAACGTAGGTCACATATTCGGGGGTAACCGGGAGGTAGTAGACTTCATCCGCAAGCTTGTGATCGGTCTGGATGGTCGCAATGTTAGGGTTGATCAGGACTGACTGAACACCGGCCTCCTTGAGGGCCTTCAGAGCTTGGGAGCCTGTAATTTCGAGGCAGAGACATTAGCATTCCCCATTCGCACAGAATCCAATGTTAAATCTCTAAAGGGTAATTGCCCACGCAGTTCTTTGTTCTGTTCGCTACTTGAATCCCGACTCCACAGCGTTTAACGGAACACTAAAACTCGGAGAAGGGACCAGCGGCTTGTGGGCCAGAGGGGGATTTGTGACTCATAAATTCCACCTACCAGAGTAATCGAACTCTCCGGCCTGTCCAATGCTCAGACCACCACTACCGATGACCAGGACCTTCTTAACATCGACGAGGTTGGGCTCGGTCTTGAACAGCTCGCTCTTCAGGTAGCTGTCAGCGGCGGGAGCAGACTCCGCCAACCGGCGCAGAGCGCTAGAGAAGGAGCGCAGCTGCTGCGACCGCCATGGCGAAGGCGCAGAGGTCTTCTGCTGCAATCGCAGACTCGATGCCGTCGTACGGGCAGCGGTCGTCTGAGAAGTGAAGGAGCGCACAGCCGGGAGAGCGGAGCGACGGGACTCGACCGCACAGCGCTGACGCAGGAGGGCGGACGTCGCCTGTCCGCAACGAGCGGCGAGAACCATTGCGCACTGCGCCACTAAAGAAGAAGAGTATAAGAAAAAGAAATCAAATGGGACTCAATTGACCCAATGGACGTTGGTCTAATTTTTTTTTCTCCCAAAAAAGGGCCCGCCTGTCTTTTGAATCAAATCAAATCAATGACGGAGGCGGTTGACCGATTCCCTTCTGTCCCGCTTTTTTATGCCACACGCCTAAGATATAAGGTGAGGTAGGGGGAGGCACCTTATGGGAACAACACAGAGGAACGGAACAGTGAGTGATCTGGCGTGCCAGTCGGAAGGAAGTAAGGGGGGAGGAGGAGGGAAGAGAGAAAAGACGGTGTGGCCAGAAGGGAAGGGATGAATAAGGAACAAGGAGGAAGAAGATGAGAAGCCGAAGAAATAGCGACGGAGAAAAAGCGTGGGCAGCGGTGGATGAGTCAATGCACGGCCAAAGTAAGGACCAGAAAATCGGGATAGTCACGACTCAAAGTCTCCCAGGAACTTCCCTAAAAGAACTTGAGAAAGAGGGCCGATAAGAGCTCCGGTGTGCGGAGCTTCTTTTTTTTTCTTTTGGGGTTTTCTTTTTTCTTGGTGGTGTTTGTTCGCGTTTGCATTGGTTCTTGCAGTCTGATAGGTCCGCGGGGGAGGGTTGGGACGGACTCGCGCACACCGCCTTGCCTCCAGTCCAATCAGCCAGGGATCCAGAGGGGCCGGTCAGTTCGGCAACCCATAGCGACCAGCACCGCTAGGAGGCTAACCCAGACCGGGCCTAGCGGATGGACCCCCCGTAAGTAATGATAACAACACCGATCAAGTAATAATTAATGCCATTACTCCATAGTTACTAGTAGTATAGACTATAGACTCCATAGGGATGAATCTCTGGAGACATTGTGGATGCCACAATGCTGTCGATAATACTCCATATCGGGCAATGCCTTGGCGAACGTCACTCTGTCCTCGACGCAAGCAATTGAACCTGCCGTTGACTCATAATCCCTCTGCGAGACCCAGTCAATAGTCGCCAAACCTAGCAGGAAAAATTTTCTGGCTAGAGGTAGATCAATTACTCTTCAGATGCAGTGAGTCCCCGCTGCGTTTGTGCCTCGCTACCGCGCTAATGGCCTCTAGCCCATGGGACCACCGGCTTTCGGAATCCCCACGTTGGACGGTAATTTGGTTTGGCTGACTCGGCTGACTGCTGGGCCCTTGCCTTGACGACATCATCGATCGAATTCCCTCGGAACTCTATTTGCCCTAGATTGGTAGATTGGTAGATTGATTGATAGATTAATCTGCCAGGAACTTTATCACTTTATCGATCTGTCAAACCCACTCGGCCATTCAATCCCGACCATGGTCCTTGAGCGCGTCCCTCGCTTCGAGTCCCTCGTCGTCCCCGGGACCTGGTGGTTTGGGCCTCCTGCGCCCAGATGTCTTCTTCCGGCTCGTCTTGGCGGTCTCGGAGGGTTTCTTCGAGGTCTTGTTTCATAATCCCGTACACCTCCTGCAGCACCCGTTGCGCGTCTTCGGCTGCCTCGCTGCCTTCTTCTACTTTTTGTTCCACATATTCCCGTTCATTCGTCCCGGCGGCCTCAGATGCAAATGCCCACGCCTCGGCCAAAGCAACGACCTCGTCTGGTTTGCTCGGCTCACTAGGAGGCGCGGTTTGTCGAGAACTAAGGGCCGACGCGGCGTTTTTGAAACGTTGCTGCCGAGCGAGAATAGGATATTCTGGAAGAAGATGGCTCTCTTCACGTAAACGGGTAAGCATCCGAAGGGCTGTAGCCTTTTCTTTGGAAAGCAATCCGGCCAAATAGAATTTCTGCGTAGCAAGCGCACGCTGACTTTTCGAAAGCGGGAGCAGAATGTCATTCGCGAATGACAGTACATTCAGGGGATCCAAGGACGGCGTCTCCTCGACAGGAGGTGGGAGGTTCTCCACGGCACGCTCGGGAGGGCTGGGAGCCGCATTTGCGATAGGCTGACAGGCTCTAGATGCCGCATCTAAGAGGCGTTTACGCGCTTCCACATATGCATCATACTGCTCCGCAATCTGAGCCTTTTGCTCCTCGAGCAAACGTGCAGACTCTTCGATCTCGTCGGCCGACGGTTCCTGTAGAGGGCCTTCATCGCCGTTCCCGACGCTCACCAGCTTCTCCTCCACCCACTGCACCAGCTCGTCGCGTGTTCGTTGTAGAGCCACAATCCTCGCAGCCGGTGAGATCGCCTCCTGCGGGCGTTGCTTGGCCTTCAATTCCTCGAGTAACATCTTCTCCCGATCCAATTGAGCCTTTGCTCGGATCACAGCCCTTTCTAATTTATGTACCAACTCCTCAACGCCCTCCCCTGTTTGGGACCCATTTTGTCGGCCCTCTCCGAATTCTTCTGGTAGCACAAGGTGTTTTTGATTTCGGTTCTCGTTGCCCTCAAAGTCTTCCGGGGTAGGTACGTCTCGCGTCTTCAATTGCTGCAAATAATGCTGAAAGACCTGCAATTTCGCATGTTTGCGACGGTCGCGCAGCAGCCGCAAGTAAGCTTGTAGATCCGACGGAGGATCCGAGGGAGTTGCCCCGGCCGGTGGGTTCTGCACAGTTTCCGATATCGATTGGTATGCTTTCTTTGCCTCGACGTTGGCCTTGAGCGCTTGTAGGTATTCCTTCCTCAGACCCGTAAACTCCGACGGTATTCGCTTGACATCAACGACGGCTTCCTGCGGCGCACACAGGGAAAGATGGGATTGGGCATGCAAGTCCGGATGGTCAGGATTGTCATCCGCGAAAACGATATGCGAGCGGAGGTGGACGGTCAGAGCTTGTCGGATGCGGAGAGCTTCCTGGCGGCTCTTGATGTAGGGAGCCAGTGGTTTGGCGAAAGGCGGAAGGTCAAGGTGGGCAGGATCGTGGTCATTACTGATGTGATGGGCCATTGGGACGGGCCTTACGTGGTGGACGTCGAAAGTGGGTACAGGTCAGTCTTGACTCTTGTCCAAGCTTGAGGTCTCGCGTCAAAACTGCTTATTAAGCAGGCCGCGAGGACCTCGAGGACCTGGGGTACGTAGTTAACTAGTTAGTCCCTGTCCAGACCTTATAGCCGCCTTACGGAACGATTGGCGTTGTACTTTTGGAAGAGGCGTATACCATCGTTACCTATCAGGGGTCCATTTGGATGACAAGAATCCGGAGAGACACTCAGGAGGAACTAACTGCCAGTGTTGTGCGGGATCAGGAGTTCTCATCCGATTCAACTGCGCTATCCGCTACCCTCGACACCCTCGAGCCAACGTTCAACCTTCATTTTCTTTGGACTACGCTGTGCCTCCACATCTGATTTCGCGTCATCAGTGCCTTCTAAATCGAGCCAGGAATGCTGGTATATGGGTCTTTCGCTGCAAGGGTACCCTGTCGATCTTAACCATTCAAATATCCCACGAGTGGCGCCTTCAGAGAGCGATTGCGAGAAGAAATCATATTTGTAAGCACCAAGTTCAGCCGAAGCTCTGTTGGAGGGAAAATTTAAAGCTTGGTATGGAGGCTGGCTGGTCTTGTGTCTTTTGTCTTGAATTGAACGGTTATTTGTCAAAATCCATTCCCAAGAATCATACTCTAAGCAATGAACGGCACATCGAGCATGATTTTGGACCGATAGATCTGTGTCGGAAAGCCGCGTAACCCCAAAGGGTTTCCAGGGCCATATTGGAGGTCGATCATGACCTTCGGAAGCTGTAATAAAAAGCAACCGGCATTCGTCATCGCGGCTTATCGATTTGTCAATATTGGACCCCATTTCTAAAGTCAAAAAAGTCTACGTTGTTCCGGTCCAGAAAGAAGCTGGAAGATCAAGAGCCGTCATTCCTAGTCGTATCACGTAAGATGGATTTTGCCAGGTCTGTGAGAATGGCACCCAGCCAGAGGATGTCGAGACGAGGCTATCGATTGGTTAATAATGTGGCGATTAAATTATTCTTTGAAGATATTGAATCAAGAGCCGCAAAAGCCGGGTTCAGCCAGGCACTAACAAGGCTGCACTCGATCTCTGTGTTGAAGAAGGTGCTACACAGGACCGAGCGTAATCCCCATACATTAGAACTTAACGTCATGTACTTGGCAAGCAGCTCGCTATGTTTGTTGAGAAGATCTGGAATAGAATTGGTAGAGGCACCAGCCCCGCCCTTTAATTCCGATCGAGAAATTTGTTTCGGGAACGGGAAGGTAATTGTTCTTCCTTTGAGGAATGGGATATAAAGTACTCCAGCAAGGGCGACTGAGCACTGAGCGCAAAGGCGATGGTGTATACAAAAACGAGATAGGTATTTGAGAGCGGTCGCCGAATCAGGTGGGTCTGAGTCTGACTTGGTATTAAATGAGCCCTTCGTGGCTAGGTCAATCCAGCGCCGGTTGCTGACACTGTCCATGGCGACAAACACTCATGGCCATTGTACTGGGTAGTGACCACCAGCGAATCCCGGCTGTTGTATGTTTTTGCTTTTTGCTTTTAGTGTGTGTGTGTGTGTGTGTTTTATTTTGTTGACTCGATCAATTGAATTCTTGCTGTTGCGGTTTATTTCGTTTACTCCGTGTACCAGAAGTTCCCTTCATTTATGGGTCCGTATACTGTTGGCGATACTGCTGCCTCAGTCCGCCTTCCCTATATGGCGGCTTGGCAAAAGCGCTCAACCCCTTTTCATAGAAGAATCCAAGCATTTCACTCCCGATTGAGTAGGCAATACAGCTATGTCGCTGTCATATACCACATCAGAACAGCTAGGCCCGGCGCGTTTACGATCAGAGTTAACTCATATAGATAGGGTTAGGCCAGCGACAAAAGCTAAAACTAAGAACCAAGGCCTAGCATAGTTGCTTGCCGTAGATAGAGGTGTATGTACAGCTCCTGTGGCTTAATCCTCTCCGTTGGGAAATTTACCTGATCTCTTTGTCATCGAGCGCACTCCTGCGCCTTCGACGGAAATCCTTAAATTCGACCACATGCTCAATTTCAATATCCTCACTAGATATGAGCTTGTACCGCTTTGCACATGGGCCCGGCTCATCATCCCCTCGTCTCTTTCTCTGCGGCATCGGAGGTAGACTCACACTCACATCGGTCTCGGACTCTCCGACCTCGTCCCGCAAACACAAAATAGATGTTATTTCTGCTTCCTTCTTCCCATGTATTTCGCGAAAGTGAGTCGCTAGATCCTCCTCGGACAGCAAAGGGTATCCCGGATTCCCAAATGGACCACAGTCGTCCAAGAAGCAGGAGAACCTTGCAGGCCAATCATGGGTTGTAGCATGCTGGTCTCGTCGATACGCTTCTCGAAAATGAAACGTAAGTCTTTCTTGCAATTTCTCTCGAGTGTCTGCTGTTAAGTATCGAGACCAGTCTCCGAGCTGTGCGGCGGCCCTGGGGATTATGAAGTATTCTTTCCCTTCCAGTGTGAGTTTGTCCACTTCATGGTGTTTTTGGTGAAACGCCACATCATGAGCATAACAGATTCTTCCAAATTCATGCCACGGCCTCAGACACTGCATCACTGAGTCTCGGAAGTCGGTCACACCCCAGAGATGGATCTGGTCGACTAGGCAAAGGAGCTCCCAAGCCTTTCGCTGGGTCACGACACGGCCGCTCCAGATTTTCTGGAATATCTAAAAAGTGAGTCCAGGGTTAGTTAATTCCTGGTCCTTTGTCAGCAAAGATAGCCCTACTTACGTAGACAGAATCGCTAAATCCTTCGTGCCCTGCATACTCCTTGGGGAGTCGTCGTCTCTTGTAGCCAACTAGTATATGCCAATGTGCTCCAAACGATGTAAATACGAAAACCTGGTTGAGGCGAGTTCTAGCCGGTTGATATAATCCCCTCTTTTTGCCCACTTTACCGGGCTGACGTGCCAGACTATCTAGCAAATCGAGGTAGGCTGCTCCGGCGGAACAGCCTTGTCTGCGTGCTTCTCTAGCATCTCCACTCCACCCTTTGGCCTCATAGGTTGCGAAGGGGAAAACAAGGTCCGCACCTCCCCAACGTGGGTCTGCAATAAGGCCACAGTGTCGCTGAAGGAGGAGGGCCTCCAGACGGTCATGATCGAGGTCCCATTCCGCCCAGGCACTCTGGTAGTCTGTCGGCTTGAAGGTAACAAATCCAAAAGTTGCGTCGGGTATTCGTTTGACGAACTTGGGTTCGCCAGCGAGCAGACATGTCACTAGATCTCTCTTCTGCTTGATTTCATTGTATTCATGCTTATCACTATTCGCAAGGGGTTAGATGACGGAATGAAACATCTACCCATCTTCTTGAGATCCCTTTGGAAAGCAAACAACTTACATAGCCAGCACTGGGTCCCTTCTCATCTGGTCAAAGACATCTGCCCAGGCGTCGGCTTCCCAGGCGTATTCACTCTTCCTCCATTTTTCATTATTCAAGACATGGCCGAGGAAAGTCTTTGCCCTCGCGCGACGACTAGACTCAGTCGAATGAGCCCAGTCAATGCCGTCAAGAGACGGAACCCAGAGATTGCAATCCGGCGTCACCCACCGCTGCGAAAAATGCTGGCGGTAATAAATGCCACGCGCATTGAGACCCCAGTCAGGGCCAAACCGCTCAATCATGCCCGGATCCGCGGGAAAGCCGGGTTGCAGATAACTTGGAAAACGAGGTTAATTGCCGAGCAGTGTTACAGGGCGTGAATCGGTGGGTGTGCTTACAGCTGAGGACCGACGTAGTATTTTTCCAAAGCCGATTCAATCTCGGCATCTGTCCGGCCATCCCTTCGCATCATGTCAACTGGTGGCCACATTATGATGAAGTCCAATATTTTAATCTCATGCAGTCGCTTTTCGGCCTTGAGTCTCTTGAGTTTCGCCTGTCTCTCGGCCCTTTGCTTTTTCCAGTTCGCTCGGTACTCTTCCATGTTGGTTCCTAGCACGTAGGGCCCGGCAGAAGTGTTATTGGCCTCGATGATGACGGCTGGATCTCGTACCCACGGTCCATCATGCGAATAGTGCTTCGCGACTCTCGGTACATTCGGCCCTTGTGGAAAATCTGGCCTCAGACGAAGTATGGGCCTGGTCTGCTCTTGGGTGTGCTTGACACTCGACATATTCCAATTTTCAAAGTTAAAAGAAACCTTTGGAGATGGACTTAGGGACCGGGGGTTCTCTCAAATCGCAATATTTTCTCTGGACGCCGAGTGAGTTCAACAAGCGTCGCTCGTTCGTATTATATACGCATGACGTTGACCTGGGAACCGTTGGCGCTTGCGCTATACAAGGATCATGTTCAACTTTGTGATTACTCCGCCACTGACGCTAAGCCCGGCCTCTACCTATGAAGCAGGCACCTAAGACTTGGCCTTCTCTAAGCCACACATACCCCTGCATTCGATAGCCGTATAGTAGGTTGGACGACCTGCGTGCCTGATGTTGCCCTTGTCCCCTCATAGCACGGCAGCATTCCACAAGCGAAGGACCGACATCGACCACTGTGTCAGTTACTAGTATTAATTTAGTCGTCTCTTGTAGTGCCGCTTCGATCCGCGAGCATACTCTCTCCTACATGAAGCATAAAAAAGCGGACGTGTTTGGGTCGACAATGCCGAACCGTAAAAGGTTTTCTGTCGCTAATTTATCTCCACTTATAATTGCGATCGCCAGCTGCTTTTTATAATCAATGCCGTCAGCAGTCAACAGGTTGATTGAAGATTCATGACCGCGTTTCGCAGCCCAGAACATAGCGGTACGGCCGAGAGTATCTTCAAAATTCAGGTTAGCCCCATTTGCGAGCAGTAGTTTGATGATAGGCTCGTTTCCTTTGCCTGCAGCTCGGGACAATGGTGTTCGCTCTAGCTAGTAACGTTGGTAATATTAGTGGATGACTTTCATGCATGGGTCAGAGACGCGCCAAGTAGAATCAGGCCATCAACTGCTCCGAGAAGCTGCTCTGGATCATCCATCAGGGGTATATCCCTCCGAATGTCCGCCGGATATATGTGGTCTGTTTTTACCTTGTGTGAAAGTAAAAATTGAACGATTTCCTCGGAACCACCTTCAATCGCCCAGGCCAGCAATGTAGTTCCATCATTGTCAGGCATTTCAAAGTCAGGTGTTATGAGAGTAGTTGGGTCCCAATGGGCAAAAAGCCTGGTGAAGGGGTTCACAAGATATTGAGTGATTATGCGACTTGTCCCCGTGCAAAGATTGGAATGGCTGTGCTGGGTGAGTAGATATTGGAATGTCTCCATGAGGCCACCTCGAACTGCCAAGTGAATATCCTTTGCACCAACATCGTCCTTCATATGTTGATCAACGCCGTAGCTCAGGAGCAACTGCACAACATCAAGATGGCCACCGAACGCCGTCAGGTGGAGGGCGGTCTTTCCAAATTGATCAACAACGTTGAGTCGAGCCTCCATCTCATCGACCAGATACCTCAACAAACCTTCATGACCATACTGTGCAGCGGACAAAAAGAGGCTGTCACGTAGGGTATCAAGACCAGAGAAGCTCTCAAGTTTCCTAAGGCATTTCAATGCAGAAGAAAGTCGCTTAATGCTGCACCATACCAACAGTTATATAAAAACGGGAAGAGAGCTCATTGTCGCTCTGACCGGGCATTTTTGGAATGGTGCTTTCTCTGTTCCAGGTGGTTCAATACCCACAGTGATTGGCAGGAGCATTGTTGCTTCCATTTGACAAGTCTTCAGCCGCGCTGTGGTTTATTGATGTTTCGTTACACATTGGTCTTTCCGGGATTTTGCCCGTTCTGCTTGGGTGATTAGGACATGCAGCCCGACCACTGATTCAAACAATGGCGTGGAAAATCTACCCTTATCAACCACATCGACAGTGCACATCTAGCGAAGATAGATGAGGGAAAGCCTATACTATGTCCTCACCCGTATTGTGAGGGTAAGGTATACCCATCCACTTTGGAACTTCGACAACATTTTCACAACGTCCACTCAATAGAAGAGCCTCGTCGCAACTGTGTTACCAGGAAAAGAAAGTGATCCTACCAGAAGACACAAAGGAAGAACCGCTGTCAAAGAAACCATGTTCCCACTGCCCTGAGAGTGGTAGTCTATGATCGGTTAATATACACAGTTGATCATTGATCAACTGTGAATACTGGGAATTATGAATAGACTGTTTGAAAGAAAATTTGTCCCAATCACTTTAGTATCGATGTAAATTGTAGTTTTAAAGTGAAGTTTATATGATATACTTAGGCCTTAGCCACGTGATCGAACACACTTAACTAACGAAATGGGACTGATTGAAGCCTGTGGCCAATAATCCACTGCACTAAAAAGGGTCAACCCTTCTAAGCGAAGGATTATGATGCATATTATGTAGTGGACTTCCGGTGACAAAGCCCAGCCAATGGTGTTGTCATATACGACATGCTCTCGTTGGCTGCCGGTCTTCATTCCCCTGGGAACGGTCCCGCGGCCGTAGTTGTGACGCAAATGAGAAATACGTTCCGGCAGTTAAGATTCGGTGTTCTTGTCGGTGAACAGGGAAATATCTACCTCGGTCATGTGGTGGTAAGCAAACCCGTTGGTGAACATTCAGGTGTGGTGCAATACGATCATGGGAAGGCCGAAGTCGGCCAGTTTCGACACACTGGCTACCTCTTCCGAGCAGAATACGTCCATCCTGACCCGCATGTTTCCTGCCGGAAATGTGGATGCGATTCAAGCAAGATTGTGGATTGTCGCGCTGAAGATAGCGATGATGACCACGATGTGTATGACCAAGTGCAGCAACTAGTGGTACATAGGGGAACGATTGCCGCTGGGGAACTGGCTGCGACCTAGACTTGTTGGATCCTAGAGCGGGACAAAGGGAACAAGACATACTACTGATTGGCCGAATACCATCAGTAAGCCCTGATAAATAACAGAATCCTCTACTTATCGTGCGGAACATCTAATGTGATGCTGATAAGAGGATAATCCTGCTTACCTTATTCTAGAGACAAGCTAAGCGCGTTTATCTGCCTCGTCTCAATCAAACCGACACTGATAGTCGCCATCAGCTACCTACGGAGATAGAGTCTTAACATAGGTGATAGTAAATTCCGCGTGGGCTTTGGTGCACGGGCCAAATTCCACCCGCCTTGTGGCCTGAGGCAGACTAGTGCGTCGATGCCAATTTTAGCGCGTCGAACCCAAATACTTTCTGCGAAAATCGATTCTACACCGATATTTTCAACATCTTCAAACATAATATCTTCATTAACATGGCTCCTATTGATGAGGCAATTGCAGATTTAAACTCTCTGAAACTTGAAGATAGATCTACGCTTACTTTTATTGCGAAAAAGTATGGAATTCATAGGTCAACGTTGTCAAGAAGATTCCGCGGCGTTCAGCATTCCAAAGATGAGCAGTACCAGGACCAACGATTGCTTAATGATCGGCAAGTGAAAGTGCTCATTTCTAATATCAATCGATTAAGCGAAAAGGGCTTTATATATCATTTGAAATGCTACGAAATCTGGCTCACGAGATCTGTGGTAATCGTCCCGGAAAAGAGTGGCCGAGCCGCTTTATAAAGCAATACAGTAATAACCTTCTTTCTCGCTATACAACCGGGATCGATTCCTCTCGAAAAAAGGCTAATTCTGCGTTATATTACGCACTATACTTTGAACTTTTGACCCGTAAAACTTCGGAATATGATATACAGCAGGAAGATATATATAATGTGGACAAAAAAGGCTTCTTAATTGGAATGCTTAGCAAAGCGAAGAGAATCTTCTCTAAGCCACTCTATGAGAAGAATGGAATGAAACAACGACTTCAAGATGGGAATCGAGAATGGATTACAACAATTGCCTGTATCTGCGCGGATGGGACCTCACTATCTCCAGGGCTTGTATACCAAGCTGCCTCTTCAAAGCTTCAAGATTCTTGGCTGCAGGACTTCGATCCCTCTCTTCATCCTTACTTTTTTGCATCTTCACCTTCGGGATGGACGAATGATAAGTTAGGATACGCATGGTTACGAGATAAATTCGATCGAGAGACAAAAGCGAAGGCGAGGCGGCGTTGGAGACTTCTTATTCTTGACAGCCACGGATCTCATGTTAATATGAATTTTTTCGAATACTATGAGGCGAATAAGATCCTCTTAATGACCTATCCGCATCATTCTACGCATTCGCTACAGCCGCTTGATGTTGGAATGCAGGATGATCAGCTCGCTAAGCAAGCCGATATACAGCTTCAAAATGATTTCAGTATTGCTCAACAAGGCAAGAAAAGGGCCCTGAGCACTCTAAAGGTCAAGAAATCGAAAGATATCATTCCTGTAGATACTGAGGTTGTTGGTGAGCCCCCCCCCCCAGCGGTAAATCGTAGAGGGAGGCAGATTAGGCTACCAGAGCGCTATCGGGACCAGAAAAAAAGGTATATAGCTTCATTTCTACGCATTTATTTCAACTCTTAAAAATTTCTATATAATTCATATTCTATGTGGTTGGAAAACCTCATCTTCTTCGTGGGTGTTGAGGTAAAATTTGTCGGAACATGGGTTCTTCCCCTGTCCTTGGGTGCCGGGCTGCACAGCCTTAGTCAACATATCATTAGTATTTAGTCTAGCTTGCTTCCGGTGTGTATCCGCACCCCTGAATACTAGACTCCTCTATGCTCCCACACTAGGAACTAGTCATGTCCTATAGCCGAAATCCTGTCATTCTCCATATCTAGGTTAGCCGAGGTCATCAACTATTCGTCGGAGAACTATGCCGAGAAATAAATGTCCACATTCAAGTTACTTTCGTTTCTTTGTCTCGCGGCTTCGGTCCCTCATTCACCCCGTCGGATATACAAATATCACTAATTAGGTCACAGTGACCCCGTTGGACCATGATAACATGCTCGGACTCGGTGTGAAACACAAGCAGACTGCACTGGCCCTACGTAATCATTCGCAAATCTGATCGGGTAGCTTAAGGTATAACTACAACCGCACCACCCCTCGCATGGTATGACAAAGTCCCATTTTCACAACAACAAATCACCCAGTCTACAATGCGCCTTAGCACAGACGAATCCTTCCACTTCGAACTCCTCCGTCTCCTCGCTCACTCTAGCTATGGCGGTGCCGACGTGGGCGAGACCCTCACCATGAGCTCCGAAATTACCCTAGGCGACTTCGAGTCCTCCCCCGTCTTCAACAAAAGAGCAGACCGTATTGTCGAACAACGAAAGAAAATGACAAATGACATCTCCATCCGCGATGCCATGTTCCGCGCGACTACCTACTACCGCGCGGCGGATTTTTACATCCACGGGAACTGAGATGATGCACGCATAATTTCGTAGGACAAGCAAACTCGCTGTTTCGACAAGGCTATGACCCAGCTTCCTATCCCGGGTTATCGCAAGGAAATCCCAGGACCCGGGTGCAATATCTCGGTCATATTCTTCCCTGCAAGCACGCACGGACAGTGCAAAGCGCCCGACTCTTATTCTCGATAACGGGCTCTCACTCTCTATTCCTGCGAGAATGAAAAAGCTATATCGCCAATCAATAGCCTTGAAATCGCTGTAGAGCTAGTCAGCCGTGTATCTTATATGACGGTCCCCAACGCCTAGGCAAACTAGGGCATTAGGTGTCTCTGTCTCGGAGGATAAGACGGCCATTGTCATAACTATGCATAATGTTGACTTCGGTTGGAGCTTGGTTCGCAATCTTCGGTGCATTTGCAATAAGACTGACAGCTTCGGGACGTTGGTGGGGTATCGAGGCAATGCATAGGATGATGCGGAATGAGGCGATCAGGGATATATGTTTTTGTATTTCATGCTATGATGTAAAATTCTAGGTTGAGTGAGGGTTTGCCCTCGCTAATACGTAGGGATAAGGAAATTCAGATAGCTCCGAGTCAAATAGCTACATAACTTAGCCTACCACGCCAAGGCCGGAGGAAATGATAAAGCAGAGCCAGATGTTCAGGCTCAGTAAATGAAAGCTATACATTTATCACCTGGACGAGGAATGGTGTAACAAATGCACTATGACATCAGTGAGCCATCGGGATTAGCTGATGAGTCTCTAAGTAGGACGAATGGCAAAGATGTCTGTCATCTGGATTAACCAATCTGTGTATGTTCCCGGCCCCCTAAATAGTTGCCTGACTCTACAACCCTGCTGGGAAGCTCGAAGGCATCATTTAAACGTGTTATAGCATGATTGTGCAACATCGCTTTAAGTTTAAGATAGACCTTGAGGCTACACAGGCTCGTATTGATGCGGGAAAAGCACCCTGTAGCGCCCGAGACAATGTGAAACAATGTACTTTCATCGCAGCATAGATCATGGTTGATAGATGAGATGTTCGGATTGTTAAGCCAGCCCAAGTAGACACGTCATGTATAACGCCCGAGAATCCTTGCTTCTTAATTTGTGAAATGTTACCTTAAATCTGTATTTCCATGGACTCGTCCGAGAGTCCGAAGTTCCTTTTACTGTGCCCATGACTCTGATATCCGATGGGATATCTTCGTATCAGCAATATAGATAGACGTAGTAGATAATCCGATGCATGTAAGCTGCACACAATACGCACTAAGGACCGTGATGTCATGGTCTCTTTTCCAGCTTCGCTGACACGGTCATGTCGCTAGCCACAGGGATCGAGACTATCTTCTAGCCGACTCAGCTCCATCGTCTTCCGTACTGTAACCCGTGCTACTTTACAATCTGATTGCAGCTTCATGTATCATCTTTATCCCAGAAGCAATGCCTCCACAGATGTCTTGGCTCTTCCAGTCGTGCTGGCTACCCCAAGCAGCAAGATACATGTTAGAGCTAGCTGGGGACCTTATATAAAGGCAGCGCAATCTCGCAATACTCAGATGCTTTGGTGCCATTCTGAACAAGACATAAGAACAAGTCCTTTAGTTATTTTTGATCTCTTGACAACATGAAGCTCTCTTGGGTTGTATGTGCCACACTTCTGGGACTGGCAGCGGCCATTCCCAATGATCCCAACCAGGGTACCGGTGATGTTGTCACTGATGATTCTACCAATGTTGTAAGTAAACTACTCTTCTTGAGATAATTTTATGTCATGAGCTAAAGGGTGGCAAGTTTGTTCGTTGCGGCGAAAGATGTAGGGGGGATTGGGAATGCCGTGGGGAATGCAATGATTGTCGCCATGGAAGATGCGAACGAGGAAGGGTAAGATATCTCATTACCAATACAAGAAAGTTTCTATGTGCTAATAATCTCGTGGCAGGGTGGCAACTGTGGAAGAAGATGTGATCATGACCGTGATTGTAAACGATGGGATGGGCCCTGCGATAACTGCGTAAGTTAACTCGACTTGCCTGTGGCATTTGAGAGCTAATGGTCTTTGGTCACAGAGACGAGGAGAGTGCAGTTGAGGGTGAGACTAGGGCTCATAGCTAGGGAGCCCCGGCGAGGTCCAGAGTGCTGTGGGTATGTGATTCAACATCATTGGCCCATGCTAGTTAGGCATACAGTATCTTTGTTTGGGGGCTCTAATTATGATTGGACTTCAGTACTTGTTGCCTTGTTTAGTCCTCACTGTAAGATTGAAAGTGCCATAGCCATGCTCTATTCTAAACGACCAAAATCCCACCAATAACCTCCAGTCCATCTGTTACTGTGTATAAGTGGACGTGATGGCTTAGTGTTTTGCTTGCTGACCGAGCACTGACATTCAAACTGGCAAACAAGACAATCGGTGGCGTTCCTTTGGGGTTATGCAGGCTGAGGTATATCGAGGAACCTTAACCCCTACCAATATTCACTCAACCACTTACTGTGGGTGGCATTCTCTGGTGGTATACAAGCCCTTTGATAGGCCAATCATGTGTAAGAGTTCCACTCTGCCAATCCTGTACGTATAACTCACTGTCTCCCGTCAGTTGCGCAATAGCACTCATGACAATGAAGACGCTCCTGGCAGGATTGGAAGTAGCTAGATCCCTCGCCTGCGAGCGCAATATAGTATACACCTGGCTATCGAGCGTACAATTCCCCAGTGTAGGGAACCAGCGGTAGTATTGAAGACGGAAGAGTATACCAGGTAAAAGCATCGTGGCGAGCGGCGATGTTGGCTGGCTTGGCAACATCCTGAACATGACTCCTATACCTAAACGTTAACTTAAATGGATATATATTCCGCCAAGGAATTAGGTTAATTGGAGAATCGGTTTCCTCCCATGAACGCTAACCCAGTACCGTACTTGATCACCTGACGCACGAATTTTGTGGTGGAGGACTCTGGTATTCGGGGTGCGGATGCACACCGGAAACTAGGCTAAAAAGTTGAGTTAACTACTAATGAGATGCTGACTAAGGCTGTGCAGCCTGCACCCAAGGACAGGGGAAGAACCCATGTTCCGACAGATTCTCGAAGTCACGTGTTCCTAGGCTAACCCGAAACGGAACAAAAATCATGTGGGGGTGTCGCTAGATCGTCGCCCTAAATTTATCAGTCTATGCCAGGAGACTCTCGATGACTTTCTTATCACCTTTCATGTAAACAGTATCTCATACGTCGATGGAGATATGATAAGTCAAGGCAGCAAGCCTGTATGTATAAAGGCCTGCCTCCGCCAACCTAAGTCATGTCAGACTATCAGTATTCCAGATTTTACATGATTATAATTTTGAACACTATAAAGACGTTATAAACTCTTCAAGAAGTATCCAATACTTTCCATTACACTTCTTGAATCTCCTCCTTTGACCGCATCCCTATCCTCTATACAGAAAAAAAAGCACATAACTCAGCATAAAGACCAAACCACATAGCCACTTCGATGCTATGACAGCAAATAGATAAGGTAGACAACTACGGATAGTCCCACTTTATGTAGATCAAGCAACGGGGCTAAGCCCCAATAAACAAGTTTGCCCCTAGCTTGACGTCATTGCCCTCAGACCATTTCCCTGATCAAACTTAGGTCAAGTAAACAAGCTCAGACATATTAAGATGCGCCTGGCCCCTTTGGCGTTTATACATCAAGTTTTTCTTCGGAGTCCACACTACAGACTTCACGGCAAAGAAGATGGAAATTATATTAGAAGCCCTGGCGGCTATCATTTGTTGTTTCGTAACACATCTTGAGTTTAAACGGCCTGAGAAATCCTCTCGAAAAACGTTGTCTGATGGTACGAAGAAAAAAGGCGATGGTTCTGAAGGCAACAGCAATGAGAAGTGAGTCTTCATCCGGCATACCTGTCCATTATATAGTGGTCTAATAGTTTGACAGGAAATCATAAAGTGATGAGAGAACCCTGGTACGGACAATCATTCCATATGGATGTTATGTTCCAAAAATAGAATCTTATGATACTACGACACGAGATCAATTGTTAGTTATTCTTCAACAGAAATGATCCTCATCTGCCACCGTCTAATCCCCAGTTTCAGGTTTATTGAATAGACGTGAATGGAGTATTATGAATTACGAGGAACAGAAGAAAAAGCCTTGGATATATAAAACTACAGGAGACATGAAGTTGGTTCACAGATTCAACTCAGGTACTATTTTCCTCTGGTATTCATTCAAGCCATATGAGCCATCTAAACCAGTGGAGGATTGGCATATCAAATAGATACAAAATCATCAAAAACCCTCCCATGGCATATCATTCCTCTCAGCCTCGCCCATCCCAACCACAAAGAATACAAAGCCCGCTCAAACACCACGCTCGGCCGCACCTATACATAATCGCACCACTCGGATCAAAGCAGCCCCAGTGGTCGCCACTGTGTTCAATAGAATTGTTCCAGGCGGGGTTCCCAAGGCTGTACAGCTTGTCAGTCGTGGTCTAGAATTCCCCTCTCTCTTGGAACGTGCTGTCGACGGGCGATGCTATAGGGCTGCATGACTCGTGTCCCAAAGTTGAGCATAGGGAAAGGGGTATTTATCGAAAACATGGCTGATGCGAGTATATGGGCCGATGCATGCTAGGCGGAATTGTTTGTGTTGATATCGGCGATGCTATTTATTTTCTCGGACTATCCTGCTTGGAATGGTTAGTGGGTATCGGATATATATTCCTAGTTACATTTTCTCATGCATTAGGTAGATTGGATAGTGATGGATTTTATAGCACTAGTATGTAATAGGCAGGAGACTTGTTATGAATCACATGGACAATTCCAGTACTCTCGAATTTCATCTGCGCCGGAGTAAAGTTGACTCCAGCCTGTCCATGACTCGAAGCTCAACTGGTACACGTGTGATGGAACATCTATATTGTTTGAGCATGTTTATTCTGACTTCGAAAGAAACTGCACACTTACCGCATGCACAGCCCGGATAATAATTTTCATACCAAGCCCCTCCTAGCTCAGGATTCTTCTCATAAACTATCAGGTCCAATTCAGGCACCGCTTCGCAGAATTTAATAGCAGCCAGAATTTTCGAGATGCCGGCACCGATGTAGATAACCTTAAGCGGGCGTGGCTGGTTCACAGCTCGCTCTGAGATGAACGGAGCGAAAGTCTCCTGCTTGTCTTCAGAGATGCCATGTTTTGGGCTGTCCCTTTCTTTCTCATTTTCCAAATCAAATGATTCCCTCACTTGAGGAAGAGGTGTCTTCGATAGTGACTGTTGTATGGTATTTTTTGTTAACATCCTGCGGGATTGTAGAAACGGGGATGTTGGTCAAAAAAGTCATGATGAATATCACAAGTGATTTCCTATAATTCCTATAACTTGCCTAGGCTCCCATGGAAAGCTTTATACCATAATCCAAATAGGTAGATGAAGATATCATTATTGTCCCCGGATGGGTATCCGATTACGTGTGCATGGTTTCACATTATACCGCCACCCTATGGCGCTGCAGAAGAGTCAAATGAAAGTAACAGAGGCTGGTATATACTTCTAGAAAAGGAGTGCTGTGGTCGCCTGAGGAAAAGAACCTCTTGGTAGAACTAGGGAGAGAACGAAAGCTTCCTTGGTCGGATGTGTCTAGGTTATTCTCAGATCAATCTTTTGGGAAGAAGTCAGCGTTCGATTCAAGTTTACTGGATTACTTATCCCAAAGACATACAGAGTTAATAAAGTATGTTGGAATGCACCTTATGGATGATATCCAATATCCTCTCTAAACCACTCCTGCATATTCTTCACTCACTTGGTTGCTGTTGTCATTTCACTCCATATCCTTTCTTCTAAGGGTTTGTTTTATTCGGCAGGAGAGTTCGATGAAAAGGATCTGAGTTCCATCCACTGTGTTCGTTCACCACAGATCCGTGCCGGTTTGGTACAAGTTAATCTGTCAAACAAAATGACCACTAACTATCTCGAAGAATCGAAGGATATAGATTATTCAGCCATCAGCGAGTCGATTCTTACCTTCTATGGAAAGCTTACGCGTGTCCAGATTGAGAGATATAAGCAGCTAGATGCACAGATAGTTTCGAAGATCAGACCCTCATACATTTGTTCTAGTGACCAATGCATTGCTGGTGTACATCGAATACGACTTTTGGTTGATATAATCTCAATATGTGGCGATGTAGTACCCATACTGATGGTGCCGCAGTTGTCTTCCTGGACTAACTATGTGAATCTTCTGTGTCATGAGTGTATTAATATTTATACATGGCGGGTAACTGGTGGCTTGCCAGGCATCTGAGAAGTTTTTCATCCTGCCAAGCTCAGGAGTTGCCCAGTCCAAAGGGAGGGCGCTGGGCGCGTAGGTAATCACGTGATATATGCTATTTGTGGAAAATGGATTGTTAATGTATAGGGGTGGCAAGTGTGGCCGAACTATTAACTAACTAGTTAGTGAGCAGCACCGCTCAGGGTGTGCTCAGGTCTACTCAGTGAGCAAAAAGCGGCGAGGGGAGAGCACTAAAACGGAAAGGGAAAGCCATCGGCCTGGTTAGAAAATCAAGTACATATGTATGTGGCGCGGCAGGCAGCTCCCTTACACCGTATGAGCTGGAGTCAGTAAATGGACCTCCATCATAATCTCGTGGTCAAGTGTTTCCTAGGAAGCTACACTTGTCTGATGTCGGCATAATCATTATTGTCAGGTTCTGAAACAACGTGGATTGACAACTGGAAGTGTGATGGCTAATAATGATACTCTCTGGAATTGGCCGAATTGTTTGTTTTGATCCTTGTCACATGACTAAGTCCCGCCTCAGGCCTGAAGGTCAGGTCAACTATCTTCTTCAGCATCAACTATCTGGTCTAAAGATATACAGAAATCAAGTTTCTGGGTGTTTCCATCACATGGCGTGTCTTTAAGTCGTATTTTTCCAATCTAAAATTCCCTTGCCATAAGTTCATACAGTCTTAACTCATCAAGTGTTTACAAATCGTCAATACCGTTCCGATCAAATATTTTCTGACTCGCCCGGGCAGTCATCAAATTTCAAAGCTCTATCGCATCGGATTCACCGAGTGACACCTGTCCCTGCCTAGCCTTCACTCGAATATAAGAGAAGTCTGTGACACGAATACTGACTCTGGTCTCAAAGCCAGTCCGCTTGTGAGAAGTGACGAGGGTGGTCTCGTCGGAGTCCTGCGACGGCACAGAGTAAATCGCCCAGTTATCATATTCCGTTGCCCCGTTCCAACTCATGTACACGTCGAAAGCAAAATCCGATATTTTCTTAGCTTCTACCGACGGTTTCCAAAACGGCGTGGCCCTCCACTGGGACTTATAGACACTGGAGGATCCAATATAGCCAGAGTGGCCAAACTGAGCGGACAGAATAACATCTCCATCGCCATTATACTCCTTCAATTCGGGAACGTCGCCATAGCCAACAAGCAAATGAGACTGCGGTGTGGCTGGTTCCAGAAGCTGGACACTTCCTTCATCTTTGGACTGAATCGGGTCGTCTGGGTCAGACACTTGACGAATGGCCGAGACTTTGCGGTTGATAACATCAACGTGTAGGATCATTGCGGTGCTCTCACCATCGCTTTCATCATTGTTGTTCGAATTGCTAAATAAACTCAGGGTCAAGCTTTCGTCTGTCTCGTCATACACTCTCGCGTCGTGTTGCCATGAGAAATTAACCTCGTCGAGTTCAAAGTCACCACCATTGATACCCTGTAGAAGTGATGTAAGTATTCTATCGATTACGTGAGAGTCTAGCACTTACAGAAAGTTGCCACTGAATGGAAGCATCTCTATTGAGATAGAAGACCGAGGAGTAGCCACGCAGAGATACTAGAAAGCCATTCTTTGTTGGATTGATGGCGTTGAGCTGAAAGGGATCGAACGGCAGTTCGCGGGTACTCGTGCCAGCAAGATCTACCTCCGATAGCTCGATAGGGATATGATCAAGGGCGCTCCATGAGTAAACAATGTCGTTCGACTGCACCTCGATCTCATAGAAAAGATAGTTGGCCACATAATGGTCAGGCTGTCCGCCAACCGCACTCAGATCATATTCGGTGACGTTGATGACGGAAACGAGAATAGTATCCTCCGATGTTACGAGGTGTTCATGGTCATCTAGATAGGAAAGCTGGGCTTGGCCATCGGGCGTGATGTAGTTGTCCTTCAAGGTAATCGTGTACAACTCGTTGTAGGCATTGTCCAGAATATGGACAGTGCCATAACCGTAACCCGGGTCGACATATTGACCGGACCAGAATGTGATCATATCCTGACCTGATACATTCTGCACCCTGAAACCACTCGCATTGGCATGCGACCCCTGGTAGATCAGATCGCCATTGCCATCGTATATTGTAGGACCAACCGGAGTGGCCTGCTCGCCTTGTAAGGCCACAAAAATGTATCCCTGGCCCACATCGCCCGTTTGATTGATGCTTAGCTGGGGGACTCGCCATGACGCAGTGGTAAAGGATTGGTAAGGCCAACTATCTGCAGCCAAACCTCCGACGGACAGCATCAAGATGCCGCATACAGACGCGGAGTGGAATCGCACCATCGTTTAGAGCAGATTCAAAGCAGCAGAGATATTGAAAAGGATAAAAATAAAAGCTATTACATTACAGTTCGCAAAGCCCCATCGGTGCCCGAGAGGATCCGCCACGCTACTTGAGTGCAAACCAAAGTCCTTGGACTCATCTCGTTGCCTTGACTCCTTGCCTCCTCTGGTCTCAGCGTGGAACCCAGCTGAGACTTCAGGGCTCAGAGCTCCAACCGTCCCTTGCATTGAATGCACGCCTTTCGAGGATTCAGCTGGGTGTGGAGTGGACACCGGATCAGAAGACCCGGCTTGATGCATGGGATTTTTTGGTTTCGATGAGTGCAGACAGTGTGCACCGAGGCAGCTAGAAGCGAATCTGACCGCGCACTATTTACAAATTTGCAGTCGGGATAAGCAATCAATCCTCTAGGGCTTTAATGCTCTGTAGAGTAGGTGGGTAGCACATCCTTTGTGGCTCATCGATGATGACGAATTAACCTGCGGATGGAAGATCGAAGAACTTTTAGGTATTGCTATTTATTCTGTACTATTTACTATTTACTATTGTACCCCGTACTCCGTCTGCTGCGGCCTGATGGAGATGAAGATCGGCCAGCGATAATCCTTCGATGACGCAGCAGGAATGGCCGCATTACTCCGTCTTGAATCATTACAGAGTAGAATCAGAATCAGAATCAAAATAATAGAACTCCGTTATGAATAAATAAACACCAGTCGATCAGTCACGGTGACTCGTCCGATATGACTGCTGGTCTGGCATGTTTCCAATGCCCTAGGTTCATTCCTCCAATCAAGGGGCGAAGGCTCGCTTCTCTTGCTTTTTATCTCTTTCTCTTTCTCTTTCTCCTCCGTTCCTCTTTCTCTTCTCCTCCGTTCCTCTTTCTCTTCTTCTCCTTCCTCCTCCTCTTCTTCTTTCCTCCAAACCACCACACCCCAACATGCCCCCCGAGATCAACCCTCTCCCTCTCTCCTCCCCGAGAACTCGTCCGCGAGCAGCAACGGCAACGCAACCAACCACATCTCCATCCGCTTCGTCCCGTCGGCCATCCCAAGTCATGGCCCCTCCGTCTATTTCGCTCGGTCCGAGCGATCAGGAAAACGTCCGAGCAGCGTCGGGTATGTGCCACCATAGCAAATAATGATGCCCGGAGCTTCTAACACTAACGCCTGTCTAGGTCCCTTGCGCCATCCCAAACCCCTCACCCCGTCCGATCTCCATTCTATGCTGGAGCAAGAACAGGAAGCAATGGTATGCCTAAACTGGGCAACTTCTCTTCGCTATCGGGGAAAACTGACCATGTTTGATGTTTTCTTTAGGTCAATCGTTTATCGAGAGAACTATCTACCCTTCGCCAACAAACGGCTTCCGTCGCATCTACAACGTCGTCGGCCTCGACCAGCTTCAACGATTCTTCGGTCGATGCTCTCCACTCATCATCGCACTTCATTAACACAGTCCACCCAACTGCGTCTCGACGCCATCGCTCCTCTTCCAGTCTGAGCTCCTCTTATATCCCCGCCGTCCAGGGCTCAAGGGCAGGGAGCGTTGCCGGGATCGCACCGTCGCGGGACGTTGGTCTAGCGTCCCCACGCCAGGGGGATCCTATGCGACCGGGTCGAAGTCGGGAGCCATCTTTGACCTCGTCTCGACCGTCCGAAGGGGCCCTGTCATCATTTTCCCCGTCGTCCTCTCAACATTTACCTCATCAATCCCTTGATCAATCATCGCATTTCCCAACCGTACCCACGCATGCTCATCGTAGCTCTCTTACCCAGCAACGATCTCGAACCGCTTCTACCGCTTCCCGTCCCGACGAGATTGCACACCAACGGGCGGAACTCGAAGTAATCCGACGGGAGAATGACGCACTACGACGTCGGGTCCGAGAACTCGAGTCCACCTTGAAACAGCACCGCGAAAAAGAGTCGACTCCGACGATCTCGACCGCCAGCGGGACGTCTGCGCTCACCGATAGTTTACGAAAAACTTCCTTGACCGAATCGAACGAAGACATAAATTCCTAAGATCGAATACCTTTTTTTTTTCTATTATTTCTCTTTTATACTTTACTTTTTGCAATCTAGAAAGCAGGATCTTTCGTGGCTATGGACGGAATTAGGTAGCACCCAATTGATGATTTCTTATGACGACGCATTTCCTAGACCCATGGCTGCCTTAATGCCTGGTTACATGTGACGACGCCGCCCCACTGTGGCTGAGCGGCGCGCCCCTCCCCACGTCATAAGTGGCTCGGTCTCTGCCCCGATCAACAGGGAATAATAAATAATTCCTTCTCTTCTTCCTTCCCCTCCTCCCTCTTCCTTCTGCATTTCCCTTCCTCCGAACGTCTGTTGCAAAGCTTCTTGATCCTACAATTTCCACCTTTCATCTCTCACCATGTCGGAAAGCTCTACTGTGCACGTCTCGAACATCTCGTCCGCCACCTCCGATAAGGAGGTGCAGGACTTCTTCAGCTTTTGGTACGGCTACCCCTTTGTTTGTACAGTGAACTCGGCAACTAACACTTCCATAGCGGCAAGATCATCAACATCTCCGTGACTCCCGTTTCCAGCGAAGCAGGAGCCACCAAGTCCGCCTCGGTGACGTTTGAAAAAGAAGCGTAAGTGACCGTCCCGCTACCCCGCACCTTCCCGCCCTCACCCCCCGGTTGCGACATTATTCTGACAAGTGAAATCTATAGTGCCGCCAAAACCGCCCTCCTACTGGACCAGACCCAGCTGGGCCCATCTGCTGTCAATGTCCAGGCCGCCCAGACCCTCGATGATATCGCGGGAACGCACGGTGCCACCGCCGCCGAGGCCAAGGACGAGAACAACCACGACCTCGAGCAGGAGGACAAGCCCAAATCTCGGATCATCGCCGAATACCTCGCCCATGGTTACACGGTCAGCGATGGCGCCATTCAGAAGGCCATCGCCCTCGACCAGAAGCACGGGTTCTCCAACCGCTTCACCACGACCCTGAGCAACTTCGACTCGAAGTACCACGCCACCGACAAGGCCCGCGGGTTCGACGAGAGCTACAAGCTCAGCGATAAGGCCGCCAGTGGCTGGCGCGGCCTGAACTCTTACTTCACCAAGGCTCTGGGCACCCCGTCCGGCCGCAAGCTGCACGAGTTCTACGTCAAGACCGACAAGCAGGTGCGCGACATCCACAACGAGGCGCGCCGTCTGGCCGACCTCAAGAGCGGCAAGCCCGCCCAGGGTGAATCGAGCGAGGCGGCTCCGGCTCCTGCGCCTGGTAGCGCAGAGGCCGGCAACGTTTCCTCCGAGCCGGTCCCCGCCGCCACGCCTGCTCCGGCCACTCAGCCCACGGGTGAGGCTCCTGCCGCTGGCACTGTCCCTTCTGCGGACCAGAAGGCTTGAATGAAATGAAATATCATGGACAATCGGAGATTTTTTTCCAGTTAAGCGTCTTTTCCAATCTGAAAGCGTGTTGATTACCTTTCTGTTCGCATAATGACGATAACCCTCGTGTATTATTGAACTTTTTAATGTGTTATTCAATTGAAACTGCCTGGGACATGTCCTCTGTTCTGAGTAATGGTAGCTAGTTGACTCTAATATACCTTCTTGATTCAATGTATATCATCTCTCCTCAGTAGAAGATATAACCATAACTTCTAATCACCAAGATAAACCCCCCCCCCCACAGTACAACCTATTTACGTCCAACAGAATAAAACGTACTACAAATAAAAAGAGATACCAATCAATCCATGAAATGAACTCAAATTATTAATTTACATCACTCATTCCATTGAACTATCATAGCATAAAACATAGCATCACATAACATCACATCACATAGGTAAGACAGTTCCCAACTCAAATCATTTCAGTTCCCAACTCCCTTGGTAAACTTCTTCGCCTCTATATCCTCCAAAATATGCTTCGGGTTACTCGACAGGCCACCTCCCTGCTGCGTTTGATCTCTAGAAGAGGAGGACGAGCTCTTGTACTGCGGGTTGATGTTTCCCGACGAAGGCGGCTCTTGCTGCTGTGCGCCTGTCTGGCGCTCCGGGGAGGGCGATTGGCGGCCTTGGTTGGGGGCGGACATTTTGGTTTTGGTTTGGTTTGGTTTTAGGAGACTTTAGGAGGTGTTAGTGTGTTTTATTCTGAGTTGCTGGCTTGGTTAGGGGAAGAGGGGCTGAATGGTGGTGGCGGACCTTGGTTATAGAGAAGGCAAGTATAGATACTTCGATGGATACTATCCGAATATAAACAAGTTGGTATATGTAGACAGACAGATGTGTCAAAGGAAAAATATGAACAACCAAGATGCAAGAGCAATTAATTGGAATTGTCAAACCATTAAATACTTCCTCGCCATCCTAGAGTTTCTTGTGGTAGTCATCATCATGACGTTTGGTTGTCGTGACCGGGTCGTCCCCACCCAAACCGGACACATGACAAAGCGAGGGCCTCCTTTCACCTTTCCGGAGCAAAGCACAGCAGCAGCTGGTTGCATTGACCGGGAACCTGACTGAGGAAGAGATGGACAAGTTGACGTCTTGTCTTGTTTTGTCTTGGCAGGTCGAGTCTACGAACTATCTCCTTCTGTACAGCAGAGGTACTCTCTTTCTACTGGGAGATGCTGGATGCATGGCGTCATTGCCGCTGGGGGTCACGTGCGCTGATCACGGATTCCTGCCCAGTGCGCAGTTCAGTTCAGGACTCTTCTTTCTGATAGACTTGAAGTCCCTCGTCTGGCTATATACGATAGCGAGGAATAGAGAGAATCCACCGCGCCCAGAACCAGTCGCCTCATGGTAATGAACAAATTAAGAAGAGAAACAAAAAGTAGATGGAGAAAGAAAAAGGTATGCAAAAGGTCCATTTCACAGAATTAATTTGGGGGGAATCAGAATCTTGTAAATTTGTGCAATCAATACAAAGGATATGAGAAGAGGACGGACGGGAGAGACACAATGGGACTTTTAGAAAGAATATCAGCAGTCAGATAACCGCGAGGTTTGACTCGTCCAAAGAAATGTGAAGGAAAACGATCTAGACAACATGGAATATCAAGGGAAAAATGAAGAAATGGGAAAGACAAGAATAAGAAAAAGAAGAAAAGAAATACGTGTCCAGCCAGCGTCCAAAAGAGACATCCAAACTGGATTAGCTAGCTTATTTTTGTATCGTAAACTCAATGACCCCAGCCAAAGCCAACTGGCTCATTTCGTTGACTGGCTGGTCTTGTTTTTTTTCTCACAATTATTTTTTTGGGTTGCTTGTTCGTTCTTATTTTTGCTCTTTTTTTCTTTCTTAGATCCTCCGTTCGCTTATTTTGGGCAGCCACTTTTTGAACGCATTTTAGTTTCCATTCGTCTGGAGTCCGGCCACTGCCGCGGCTTCGGCGTTCGCCAGGGCCTTCGCATCCGCCTCGTGGAACACAGCCTCGATCACCTGTTGTTCCTCCGAGTTCAGAATCTTCGTCAGGTTTTCATAAAGCTGTGGCTGCTCCTGCTGGAGGTCTGCGTGAAGGACGATTAGCGGATAATTCACCTGAAAACAATACAGGTAATACATACTCAGGAAAACTTGTTTGAACAAGCCGTAAGGCTCGATCTTATCCAGGGGTGTCTCAAGGAGACTCTCCTCGTCCAACTCCTCTTCATCGTCATCGGCGAAAGAGCCGAACTTTTGCGCCTAAATAACCTGTCAGTATACATAATTGAAGTCTGCGCGAGGATGTTTTACTCACCTCCTTGTTCAGGAAATCAAGATACGCGGCGCCTTCGTCGGCAACGTCGTCTTCGAGCGTAGCCTCGGTTTCATCCTGATCAGTCCATTCGATCTCACCATCCCAGTCATTGTCCTCGTCAACATCGTCACCCTCGTCGTCGAACGTGAAGTCGGATTCTTTCGTCGCATCTTCACGGTCTTTAGAGAGAAGAAGTATTAGTAAAACAGCCAGGCTAATAAGATATGAGGGGGAAACGTACTCTTCAGAGCGGCAGGCAACGTCTGGAATAGGCGAACGGCTCCCTGCAGCAGTCGGGGCCAGCCTTGTTGCACGCTCGGGGGAACATCACCACCCTTCAATGTCAATAGAGAGCTGATGGCGGCAATCGACAGCTTCTTGTCGTGAACACGTCGGAAGTTGTCGATATTCGAGAACCAAGTGCTGAAGAACTTGTTCGTCCAGCCATTGGACTCCAGAACCTGAAGACTCAGCACGGGGTTATAATAGATAGCGTTGATCACCATCTCCATCAGATGAATTCGGTAGGATTTGGTCTTGGTGTCGCCAGCATCAATGACCCGCATGGGCAACTCAATGAAAACCGGAAGGTACTGGTCGATGTAACCGCGCAGGTTCAGCATCACGGTCTCAGCCAGCTTGCAGCCGCATATCCGGTCCACACCGCCAACCTTCTCATCGCTGAAGATGTCCTGGACCATGCCAACAACGGCCCCAAGGTACGCTGGGTTCTGGACCATCATTTCAGAGCCATAAGCCACGTAGTTGTCCAGGGCGGGCAGCATATCTTCTAGGTAGAGCTCGGCACCGGCCTTGAAGGTCTTGTGGATGAGCTCGAACGCTTGCCACATGGTGGGCGAGATTGACTTGGAGGCAAATGTGCAGCTGTCGATGATCTCGAAGATCTCGTTGTAGAGGTCGTACAGCTTGTTCTCAAGAGTGATGCTGATGACGGGCATGAGGATGGTTTCGAGGTGCAGGAGCACGTCGGGAGTGCTCTCGAGGGTGAGGATAAGGGTGCCGATGGTCTGTAAGACACCCAGAGCAGTGATACTCTTGTCATCCAAAAAGTCGCCGTAGGCGTCCTCATCGCCCTTTGCAGCGTTTCTCTCCAGAAGCTCACCAACAATACGCATGTAGGTGTCCCGGAGCTGTTCGCTGAGGGCCACGGCAAACGGCGTGAGTTCGGCGGAGAAGACCTCAACAAAGTCCTCCATGACGTTAGCCAAGGCGTCCACGTCGACCTCATTGGCCAGCTTAAGTAGCTGCTGCATAATCTGGGGGATGTTTTGCTGCATCGAGGTCCTGATGATGTCGTGTCGGATGAGAGGCTGCAAGGCAAGGGCCGCCTCGACCCGGACAGGGAGCTCGGGGTCCGTCATCGACTCCAGGATGTTCCGGTAGATGATCATGAGGTTGTTGGGGTCCTGGAAGTCGAGCTGCTCGAACTTCTCCAGCGTATCGCAGGCACGAGCCCGGAGGAAGCCGTGGGGAGACCGGAATTCAGGGAAAACGTGACGGACAAAGAAGTATTCAACCTGATCGGCGATAGGGCTCTTCTTTCCGAGGATAACGGAAGCAAGGGAGCCGATCATGCGCAGGGCACCTTCCTTCTCCCTGGGCAACTTCTGGTCCTCCGGAGCAGCCTCGTACTTGCTGACGACGCCGTTGACGAAGGTGAGGATCGAGAAGGTCTGCTTCTTGCGGTTCTTCGTGAGGGCAACCAGGAAATTCGTAGCCGCGACATCGGGGGCCGAAACCTCCTCGTAGAAGTTCAACTTCCGGTGGAGGTACTCAGACGGGTCGGTTTGGAACAGCTCAATGTCTTCATCCGACTGGCACAGGATGGGGAAAATGAAATGCGCGACCAGGTTATCCATGTGCGGTTTGAGGTGATCCCACATCGCCTTCGGCTTGACGCACTCTTCCAAGTAAACCAAGGTGTAGGAGAGAGCCGGGTTGCTGAGCCACTGGCCCTTGGACACCCACTTGTCGATTTCTTGTAGGTAGCCCTTGAGGATCTCCGGGGCGAACGTAGTAATAAAAGCCTTGCCGTATTGCGTATAGTCAGGAGTGCTGGACTTCGTCATGGTCGTGGGGTTTCCATATCTGCAGATTCAAAGATTAGATTGAACACATATTTGGCCTAGGAGGATACCTACCGGATGAAGAGGCGGTTCAAGTTGGCGTACGACCACTTCTTGCACTTCCACCAGTGGTTCAGTTCCCTCTCTTCCTTCGACTCTAGCATGGAGCTGGCGGGAGGGTCCTTAGCAATGATCCTCAGGAACAGCGTGCACCAATCAACGGTCGCTTGTTGCGTCTGCAGGAATGGCGAAAGTTCGAACTAATATCATCCACCAGTCAGTTCCGAAACGTTTTCCCACCACACCGCCGACTCGACTCCCTTCGGTGTTCTTTCGGTCCTACTCACGTAGATGGCATGCTTGTATGATTTAACGACGATCCGGAGCATCTCCGCCGCTTCTATGCTTTCCTCATCGACCAGCTTCAACCCGATGTTGAGCAGTTGAGGGAACGAGTGCTCGACGATCTTATCGAATTCCTCTCGCTTTTCTCCGGCCTTGAATCGGTAAACACGGCAGATGGCCAATAGACATTGCAGACCAGCGTAGACCGAGCTCGCGTTGGGGGTCGACAACAGCTGCAGGGTGATGTCCAGGAATCCCGGCCACTGTTCCGGGAAATCATGCTGAAGGATCTTTTGGAGGAGCGGGACCAGCTGCGCGCGAACGTTCGGCGGCGTCGAGGCCAGCGCCGGGATCAGCCTCTCTCGGAATCCGGGTTTCTCCTCCTCAGGGATGGGGGTGCGAAGCGGGCTTTCTTCGACAGGGGACCAGCCACGGTTGATTCGGTTTTTCAGGTAGACACCGGCTACAAAGGATTCATCGATTAGTTCGGGGAAGAAGGCCTTGGTTGGGACGATGGGAGGAACAGCCACGGCAGTTTGGAGAGGGCACACGCACCGGAAAGTTGGACGGCATTGTTCTGCTCCCCCTGCAGAATATCCAACAGCGCATTTATGAAGCCAGGTTGAGTCTCGGCCTACAGAAAAAACATTCGCAGACAACGAGTAAGTACTAGGACGCCAGAGAGTTGAAAGACCAGGTGCCGACGAAATCCCACACGTACATATTTTAGATCAATTTCCGCCTGACGCCGATTATCCGCATTCGCGTCGAGCGTAGACTGTATACGGTCCCGAAGAGCTGTGACATCCATCTCGCACCAGCAACTGCCCCCAGCGACCAAATTCCAGCTCCGAATAGATTGATTAAGGCCCCGTTACGCAATGGTGAGCCGGAAGGTGAAGGGCTTAGGAGGAGGGCAAGGGAGAGGGGGCCCAGGCGATTCGAAGGAAAAGTAGCGGGGAAGATATTAGATAGGGAGAGGGCACGATTGCAAAAGTGCACATTGGGTTTGTTGGGTTTGGTTTGGTTTTCTCTCGTGGATTTTCAAGCGGTGCCCGCCCCGCGCCTGTGGCAGCTAATCAGAGCCCTCGCCGCCACGCGCGGTAAGAGAATTTTCCTTGAGAATGGTTTTTCTGCCCCCGGAAAGGCTCGTCGGGTTGGGTTTGGGAGAACCAAGGGTCGGAGGCAAGTTGAAAGAAATTTTGATTTTTGAATTTTGATTCTTATTATAATCTTCGCTTTGAAGGATCGGTTCTTTATTCCCGGACGCCAGGGGTGGGAAATGAAAGTGCCTCTACTATGTACATAGGTATGGAACTAAAGTACATACAATACAAACACCCGCCGCAAACGAGGAATCAGGCAGAAATTGCTCGACTAGGAAATCAACATGGCATCAACCCCGGCAGAAAAAAAAAAAAAGAAAAGCAAAAAGGCCGTTGCTTCCCCACGTGGTTCCCGCGGTTATTCCCAAATTCAATCCTTCCATTTCTCATCGTCTCGTTCCTCTATCCGTGCTTTGTACCTATTCCCTCCCAACACACTCCCTCCCCCCGACCGCTTCACCGCCCTCCTACATATACAAAGATGCCGCAAAAATCACATCCCTCTTGATCTGCTCCTGCGCCTGTTGCATCTTGGTATATAATGTGGGATCTCCAACCAATTTCGCCGCATTCTTCACCTCCCGACAGGTCTCATCCAGTCGAGTGATGGTTCGCACAATAGTGCCTTCCATCACGTCGGTCAGATCCGTGATGCGATTGAACGACATGCCGCGCGCCCATTCGTAGACTACTTCGGCCAGACCGAACCGGGGTTTACTGGCGAAGTCATTGCTGTCTTCGCTCGACTGGATCACCTGGTATTGGATCTGGAAATCATTCACCTTCTCGGAAATCCGAACAATGGCGTCCTTGCCCTTCTCCAGTCGAGGCGTCAACGTAGGAACATTCTCCGTCTTCTCCTGGAAGACAAAGGCGGATAGCAGGGCGACAATCTCCTCGGGTTCGTACTCGGCCAGCACGTTCTCGAGGATCAGCTCCGTGAGGACAAGCTCGTCAGCCGAATGAATCTGTCGGGGTTGGTTAGTAAATTCGTGTGAGAACGATGGTTATGATGGGAAATCCCCAGATACGCACCTCACAGGCAACCTTTCCTTTCAGCTGAACTCGCGACTGCTCGTCGATGAAGCCCAGCTCTCTCAACACCTGAATACGCTGCTCATAGTCTGGGAGAAGTTGCAGGTTTTGGTCGGACATGAGCTGCTTCAATTGCGAGATATTCTCCTTGACCTGCCACTCATCATGTTGCATTTCAAACTTGAACACCGTCAGCCAGAGGATCATAAATCGATGGAGGGTAAAAAGGCCGAACTCACGTGCTTCAAAAAGCTAGGACATTGCAAGCACCGACAAGACTGAATGATGTTTGCTTGCGCTTGGCGTTTCTCCAGAATATCCCGTACTTGTAGCTCCTTGATCCGAGCCCAGTCCAGCTCGTCCCAAACAGGGCTTGACCACGAGGCGCATACTTTCGATAACTCTTTGTCCGCAAACTTCGCCGCCTCTGTATTCTTTTGTCAGTTTTCGCCACACTTTGCTACGTTGATCGCAATCTACCTTTCTTGATATTGAGGTACCATATAGGGCCCCCAAGCTTGATCAGGGTGTTGGTAACACACTCAAGATCTGTAAGCGGGACCTTCTGCACTTTGAGATTCATATCCGCCGAGCGAGTCGGAAGCTGTTGCAGCAAATCGCGGAATTTTGGCAGGAAGGGAAGAATGTCGCTTGGATGACGCTTGCTCCCCAATTTACCAATTTCCAGAACTTGGATATTGGGGGTAGAGCCACCGCTAACTCCTTCTTTGACAATGATACCGGCAGTCCGGTATCCTTCCTGTAAATCTATCAGTCAAACTGAACTCCAGAGACGAGGGAGAAAAAGAATATGGTTTACTTACCTTTCGGTACACAATCAGTCGCTTGGGCACAAGAAGACGTTTACCTACCGGCGACGAGAGCAGCCCGACATTAAGCTCTTTAGTTAACTTCTCGTACTCGATTGCCGCGTCATGACAGGCAGCAAGGTCAATGTCGCAGATGTCACAGGGCTCGCGCTTGATTTTCGCCAGACTGGCCTCCGAGAGTTGGACCTGTTTCTCATGCTCCGGTAGTAAAGCTTGAGTAGCGTTCTCACTGAAACTTCGCTTGATCATTTCTTCGATCTTTAAGGCTTCCACACGTAAAAGGTTCAAAATCATGTTGTACGTCAGTCGGAACTGAGATCGAAGCTTGGTCGGATCGCCGAGAATCATCTTCCTCAAGGCACCAGCAGGAGGCGCCTCTTCCCGGCCCCCGTTGACGATGATCACATAACCGACATTGTCAAGACCTCGTCGTCCAGCACGTCCAGCCATTTGTGTGTATTCGCCAGGCAGTAGATCTCTGAACCCCTTGCCATCATGTTTCCGGAAGCCAGAAAAAACGACAGTTCGAGTCGGCAGGTTGAGACCCATGGCAAACGTCTCTGTGGCGAACAGGACCTTGACCAGTGATTTAGCAAATAGGATTTCAACAATTTCCTTCATGATCGGTAAAAGGCCGCCATGATGAACGGCAATACCCCTGCTCAACAAGTCGCGAAGCCGAAGCACCTGTGGCAGACCTCTGTCCTCGGGCTTTAGTCGAGTCAGTGATTTCTCGATAAACATGTGCACCAAACTCTTCTCCGAAGCAGTGCAAAAGTCCTGGTTCGAAAGTGAGTTTGCATTTTCTTCACATCGTTTTTTGGAGAAAACGAAGATGCAGCCTGGAAGCAAGTTCTCCTTGCGCAAATGCTGAACGAGCTGTACCCAGATCGTCTTGTCCTGAGCAGCTGTAGTCCGTCCTCCACCTCGTCCTGTGCGGGCAATATTCCCAGAGCCTCTAGTTGCCGGTTGTCCCCTGCCCCTTTGGGCGGCGCCTCCACGCTGGCCATTGCCTCGGGGACCACCTCTACCAGGGGCTTGTCCGCGTCCTCTTCCCTGTTGGCCACCTCTCTGTGCCTGGGATTGGGCCTGTGCTTCGGCTGCCTTTTGAACCTTAACCTTATCGCGGCCCGAGATAACATTGTCGGCTTCTTTCCAACCATTCTCGAGGAAACGCTTGTTGGAGTCGACAATCTTAAACTTGTCCTTCCCGGCCCAGAGGTAGTGTTCCAGGGGAACGGGTCGTTTGGCGGTTGAGATAACGTAGATGTCCTTCTTCTTGGTACGACCAACCCACGATGCGAACTCTTGCGTGTTAGGAACGGTTGCAGACAAGAGGATCAGAGTGACATGCTCGGGGAGCATAATAATGACTTCTTCCCAGACAACACCTCTTTCAAGGTCGTTCACGTAATGCACCTCATCGAAAATCACAAACTCGACGTCTCTAATTAGATCCGCACCGCGGTAGAGCATACTTCGTAGAATTTCAGTGGTCATGATGAGGCAGCTTGCCTCGGGGTTGATCTGGACATCACCAGTCAAGATACCGACATCTTCGAACTCATTGCGGAAATCTCTGAATTTCTGGTTACTCAGAGCTTTGATAGGGGATGTGTAAATAGCCTTTGTCATGTGCTTGGCAGCCAATGCGATCGCATACTCAGCAACCACGGTTTTTCCAGCCGATGTATGCGCTGCGACGAACACTGAATCGCCCCCTTCAAGATGGTAGACAGCTTCCTTCTGGAAAATATCCAGCTCAAACGGCCATTCTCGAGCCATATCCGGGACGAGTTCATTGAAGTTCGGGATTTCTTTATTGACGTCAACCACGTGCGCCCATTCTTTGCCGCCTTTCTTCTGAGCGCCCGCAAAGAGCGGTGCATGGGGTTCCAGAGCCGGAAATTCAACAGGGAGAAGAGCATCGATGTCTTCTTCTTCGCCGCTTAGCTCCCCTTCATCTTCCACCTTCACCCCTCCGCCATCTGAGGCCGTCTCATCATGATCCACATGAAGGTCGGTCTCCTCCTGCTGAAGAGTGTCTTCAACCTCCTGGTCAGCCTCTTCAGACTCTTTGGACTTGGCCTGATCGAACTTGAGTCCCCTAGTGAAACCAGGAGCAATTTCTAGTAGACCGTCTTCGCCCCCAAAGTTGATGATTCTATCAAGACCGGTCTTTTGGCCGCCACTTCGAGGCTGTCCTGTCGTTTGGTTCTCAGATTCCATTTCGGCAATTGCTTCCACGCCATCCAAACCACCAGGAGCAAAGGGGAAGAATCCGGCCGCGCCTCTGACAAAATCCGCACGTCCAGCGGGTCGACGAAGAAGAGATGTCGAATTCTTTGCATTCGCACTGCTAGCAGGGACAGTCACTTCATGGTAGCCTGTAACCCGTCCTTCCAGACCCTCGCGGTCGAAGCGGACAATAGTCCGTGTTTGGGTGCCAGCGACCTCAAACAGGTCTGTGTAGTCTGTTGACACATCCCACCTCCTGCAATAATGATCAGCTATAGGACATTCAACGTAGCGTTTCTCGAGGAAAGACGAGGAAAATGCAGCATCAAAGAAAGAAAGAAAAGGTGAAATTCCATAAAGCCGTGAAGTAAAATAAAGCAATAACGCGACCAAAATGGCGATAATTCAACGAACCTTTGCAGACGATTCAGCCATTCCGGACTAAATTTCGACGATGGGGCTAGAAACTCATGCTCCAATTCAGCCTTGAGATCGGCAGCATCCTGGCGAGTCTTTGGTCGCGGGCCCGGATTCTGGTATGAGCCGTTTTCTTCTTCCAGAAGTCGCGCATCAAACGCCGATCCACTAAGCTTCTGTGTGTTCAGGCTCAACTCGGCGAGAGTTGAGGCAAGACCTTCTGCCATCTCAGAAAGCAGAAGGGAGCCAACTATGTCAAATAAATGGATAATGTATCTGTCAAGAGATCGAGATCAAGGCACTCGGATAACAGGCTACTAGAAAATAAAGACTAGCCCAAATTGACAGTCTCGTACACTGCCAAAGTGGAGCAGCGTGAATGGTTTGAATGGGGGAGGCGGAATGGGTGATGCCTTGCCAACATTCACGGGTTGGCGTGGTTGAAGGTGGGCGTGAAGAGGTAGTTGGGCGGCATTTAGCGGCGGTACCGCACACACAACTTCCTGTTCGCTGACGTCGTGTGGGGACAGCTAAACTGGATTCAGTCGCTTCTGATCAATCGTTTTCAATTGCTTCACGGTTTCTCCCTTTTCATCTATTTTCTTTTTTCTTTCTTCCTTTCTAGTCATTTTTGTCTGTCTACTTTTGCTTCTCGGAAATCTTCGAATTTGGAAATACTTTCAATCAAGGCATTTTTCGACTAATTACGCCGGAGACAAAAGGAGAATCGCAACTTTTATTCATATTAAATGATACCTGAGTTGATAGAAATATTCCTTCGCAATTTCCTTGACGCCAGAGATAAATACAATATAACAACCCAAGCCAATGATTTGTACTGGGCGCTCCCGAAAATGAAAATGAAAAAGACATGAAAAGAACAAAAATAAAAATCACCTCCTGAAGCCATAATTACCGGTGCGTATAAAATTTTGGAACTGTCGTGGCTTTCGAAGGGTCAAATCCCTCTCGCAGAAAGGGGCATAGGGGTCCATATTAAACATGGATAGAAAAGCTAAAATTGTTGCAAAAAAAAGGCATCAAATGAGGAAGAAACGAATGTCATCCGGTCCATCGTGAAAGACATAAAAAGAGAGAGAGAAAAGAGCCATGAAGGGCCAAATGGGAGGGCGACCTTATCGGTAACTGACAACAGGAAATGTTTTCCGGTCTCTTATGTTGAGCTGATATTCAAAAATCCCATCCACTGTGGCAATATACCTAGAGCAACTCGAGTCAGCCATCTTTTCGCTCGAAATCCATGAAGCGCCAGTATGAACTTACAGCGTTCTGCCATCCGCACCCCAGCCAATTCCAGCCGTGCTACCTGTATCTTGGTCTCTATACGCAGCACCCAAGCTTCGATCGGGTAGTTCATCCAAAATACTCCGCATCCACCGTGAAGAGCGAGACTGGTCAGAACCCAACCGGTCAGAACCCAATACTTGCTGTCGATACCGTTCGCGTTGGTTGTTTCGGTTGTGTGCTTCATTAATTATTTGTCGCTGTCGCCGAAGTCGTTCTAGCGCAGCAACGTTGGTCTCCAGCTCGGAGCTAGAGAGGCGCGACGACTCATGTCGAGCCTCCGGTGTACCATCTTGCCTCCCAGACCGTCTGGATCTGGAATGAGATTGCTGGTGAGTCCTTGGTCGGAGAGTGGAGTCTGTGGTCGTATTCGAATAGTCGAAATTCGCTGACGGGCGACCGATTATGCGCTGCCGCTGATTCGGAGCGCCGGCCTCGTTATTAGAAATGCTGGGATCACCAGAGCTCGACTCACTTGACCGCTGCGGATGTTCCACTGCAGCAGATTGTATCTCGGCAGGCGATGCGGTCCAAGTGAGTGTAATACTTGGCTGTGGATCCATGTTGGAGTCACTTGTCTCTTGCGCCTCCGAATTGTCGTGTGATAACACCACAGAACTTTGTCGCCGTGCATTCGGTCTGCGATTGAAAACGGTCGCATGAGCAGGATGTGTTTCTCGCGGCACTCCAGGCGACGGTTCGCCATGACGAAGGGGAGAGGTGGGACGAGAAGCACGATTGGAAACATCTGTGGGACCTTGGAATCGTGAGCGAGGCACAGGCTGTGGATTCGCATTAGTCCTGGCCCGTCGCTCCGCCAGGCCGTCTTCCATCCTCGACGTCCAGCGTGCCGTGTTCAAAAACTCCACGATCAGCCTTTCCCTTTCGGTGAGATCCTGTATTAAGTTATCGCGCAACGGCAAATTGTCAGACGAGGCTCCCCTGCGTTCATTTGACGGGCTCTCGACCGAATCGAGTATAGCCCTCTGCGCTGCGTCAACTTCATTGCGTGATTCCAGGCTGAATCGATTGTCAAGATCGAACCCCAAAGCCACAGAATCGTCCAATAGAGGCTCGGTCCGAATTTCCTGGATGCCGGGTTCGTTCATATCCAAATTGAGGATCTGTCTACGCACGAAGGCCTGGCGAACATCTGCAATACCAGCCCGTCCTTTCTCCTCCAGCCACACCAAGAGATCCCAAGGCTCAGGGGCAAACGTCATACAGCGCACAGCACCTCCGTTGCAACTGAGCCTTGAAGAATTGAAATGGCATATAACCGAGCTTTTGGCGTCAGGCTCACAACGAAGTGTCTTGACGTCAAACACGGTAATAACTCCAGACTGCGATCCAATGGCGCAGAGTCGACTAAGTTGCGAGAATGCGATGCTAAAACAGCATCCGTCGTCAAACCTCGTTCCTATATCCATCTCTACACAGCTGAGCAAATCCCAGTTCCAGCCAGAGAACCTTTCGCCGCTTTCTGCCAGGGCGGTCGAATTGAGGTCGCGACTAACGTCATAGAAATAGGCACGGGTCTCGTCACCCACGGCGGCGAGAATGCTGGAGTCCGGGGACATTATCGCATAGTTCATGCATGCTTGATGATGTAGGACTTTGATGGCTTTCGATCGGGTAAGAGAATAAATGGTAACCGTCCTGTCATTGTTACTGTTGGGGGAGTATTAGCATGCTGCTCTGAGATTGACATGTCGCCGCATTCGTACCTCAGGACAGCAATGTCTTCATCCGTCGACCCTTTTCCATCTCCAGGCAAACGATGGATTGTCACCGAATTCACAATACTGCCACCAAATTTATGCAATCGCACATCTGGCATTTCCCTTCTCCCAGCATCGCGGGAAGCTCCGGGCTCTTCTCCTGCCAGCCACGATGGGGAAGACCTCGAGGACAACTCAAGGTCAATTGGCAGAGCGCTATCCACATCCGATGACTGGGAGGTTGTTGAGCCAGAACTATCCTGAATGCGCCCATTCCGATCGGTAACGTTGACAAACGCACATTCGCCGTTGTCCGAACCCCCCACAGCTACCCATCCGTTACCAGCCGCCAGGCATTTCGGTTCAAACGGTATGACTGCCAGAGTCTCCCGCTTTTCGGTGGAAATGTGTATCGCGTATATAACTCGGTCTACGACGACGTAGATCTTGTCGGGGTCGGCGGTGCTAATGTAGTTTCGGAGTTGTTGGTGGCTATGGGGGCCATTAGCTCAGATCCCGTCCAGCAGACACAGGGAATGTAATCGGGAAGGGTGCACGAACAAATTCGGGATCTTGAAAGGAAAGAAGCGACGCTTCGTCGGGAGGATCAAAGACTCGGTCGAATGGTACCTAATAAGCGAGACAAGGTCAGCTGGCGGTCGAGACAGACCATCACCCGCAGGATGAGTCAAGACCAACGAGAGCGCAGAATCCGTCGTCATGGTGGTTTTAGTGTCGGGATCAACGTGACATTGTCGAAATTACGGCTAGAAGGAGGCACCGCCGTTGTGAAAACGACGGGGTGGAAAGTAACGAGGCGATGGGAAGATGACGGTGACAGCGGAGAGGAGAGGCGGAAGGGTCACGAGAGGATAATTAGGTGACGATGGTTAGTTTGGTGAAGTGGTAGAAAGGTGAAGGTTGCATATAGCGCTGCCTGCAGCTTTAGTGATAGGAGAGACTAGCTCAGGGTAGCATAGAGTGACTGGAGTACAAGAACCCAGAGACCAAGCGCCCTCCTTGTCGTTCACGACTTCCGGAGGGTCCTGGCGTTTGAGCGGATGACGTAAGACATGACACCTTCAATCCGGGGAAAACTTTTTCTTTTCCTGCGGGCGAATGCGGCCGAGTCGTTCGAGTCCTGCCGCTTCCAGTGCTCTGATCGGACGCCGAATGCGGTTCGGCTTCGTTTCTTTGGTGTTTTATATTGTGGTCACAGTTCTTGATCCCTAAGGTTCATGGTGACTGCCTACCTTTATAGACGGTCACCTCTGCTTGAGGTTCCCGTCGAACCTCCACCCAATTTACAAGACAGAAGGCAGGAAACAATTCACTTCCTTGGCGGAATTGGGCATGTGAGATCCTAGGACACTCTATTCAAGGGCAATTCACCAATTACGGTTTATGGCGCCAGCGGATTCTGCATCTACCCGAATCGAGCATCCAGACAGCACAGACAGCACGTGCATCGAAACTGGAAAATTAAATCATACATTCGATGCCATCTAATAGATTGAGTTTGAAAGTCTACATGCTCTGGGATGTTTAGACTTGGTTTAGCTCATTACCCATCTGCTTACCTCTAAAAACTACCTACGGCTGTGAAAACACACACGGAGAGTTGAATGGCTTCGAAATGATCACGGTATTAGTATTTATCACATCAGGGCTTTTCATATGCGTAGTCAACAGGTGTTGGAAGTACATTCACCTGTCATCGGTGCTTTGCATGTTTTTCCTATTTCAAATTATCACTACCGCCAAGTGTAAGTAAATTTGACCATAGACTTGCATGCCAGCTTCGATTATTGCTTGCTTCCGGCTCCCAATCCTGTAGTATGCTTTCCAGTTTGCTTATCATATAGGATAGATAACAAAGATACACTGGTAAGGGGGTTGACTTCGTGGGAAAGCAATTAGTGTATAATTATTCAGGATGTTATAGTATATATACAAACAGTGCCTACATCCGTTTTCCGTACAACCTACGTCATTGGTCGAAGCTATATGTAGATAGAAAAGTAGTCCCCGTGACAAACTGTAAATCTATCTGATTTAGTTTCGGTACAATGAATTTTGTAAAAACCATAGCCTCTCTCTACATTGACACTGCAAAAGTTCTCGGGAGAAGCTCGGATTAGGCAATAAGCCACGAGTCCCACTCGGCATTGAGAGATGATGGCAAGAAAATCGGAAAGCAA